AGAGACAAAGGGTTGAAAAACTATGCTAAGCATATACTAACAAAATGAAGCTGAAGCTACTGTATTAACATCAGGCAAAGCAGGGCTGGAACTAGGGTCAGGCAAGCAAGAGCAAGTGACATGAGAGTGAGTGCCTCCACAGGGTCCGCATGTAGGGCACAGAATTTAGGGAGAGCCTTAACTCTCACTTGTACTTACTCCTGCCAGTGCAGAGCCAGTCTGTACCAGAGAATAAGCTTCTCCTTAAATTTGCTATGTATTTTTGGCCGGAGACAAAGTAGCTATAAAAGAAGATGTAGTATTAAACATAAAATGAATATTTCATGATGATAAAAGCATCATAACGTAAATTGGTATGTGCCTGAAAACAGAATTTTTTTTGTACTATTACAGGTTTGTCATTGGTTTTAACATATAAAAGGGTTGTTCTCTCATTAAATTCTTATTCTTTAGCATTCCAAATAGGTTAAATTATCACTTTGTTAAGAAATGAAATATCCTTCTGGCATTTTATTTGACATTGTATTGAATTTAAACATAGGGAGAACAGCATCTTTAAAATGATACCCCCCCCCTCCCGTGCACAAATTATGGTTGCCAAATACCACAACAAAAGGAAGTAGAGTTCCATAAGAATATAGCTGAATACATGGCAATAAAACAGAAGTGTAAGAAGGTCTCAAGGCATCTTTTTGGAGCAGGTAACAAGAAAGTAAAGCCTACTAGGGTTGTGTCCAAAGCACTCATAAATGAATATTGACAAGAGTGCTACCGGCCAAAGTTGGGACGATATGAAAACCAAAAAGGATTATGTTTGCAATGGATTGGAACATTTAACAATAACAACTAAGCCGCAACAACAAATTCATTGGTCATCATTGGAAAATGACCGCGAGCCATCTGATTATTTTTAAAAATAGAAAGTAAAGAAAATGAATGAAGAACTAATCTTGCCTTTTCTATATAAACTGTACCACTGGGTAATTCAACAGTAAATGAAAGGAATTTCTCTTTATAGATATATTTGAGATAATATATAAAGAAGAAAAAAATTATAAAACAATGTTTTATAATGCCGAATTAATTAATTGGGCATTAATAATGAAAAGAGAGCAATTAGAATTTTGCCTTCTAATGGAAAAACATATGACTAAAGACAAATAAAAAGAACATAATTAAATCAGATCTCTACTAATTTATACTACATACACAAAAGAGACAAACATGTTCAACTATACCATGGGGATACAATCAGTAAAATCCTGAGTGTGGCACAGTTTACTTTTTAAAAACTTCAAGTTGTGGACTTTATTTGGCTTCTCATCCAGAGGAACAAAATGGAAAACAATATAACACTTATGAAACAACTGGAAATTTGAGCACTGATGTTTCTCAATAGCAGAGAATAATTTTTAAAATTTGACTTTTATAATATTAGAGTGAATGTATAAAATCATTATCTTTTAAGAATGCCTATTGAAATATGTCAGGATAAAATGATGTATCTCCTATTTTCTTGAAAGTAATGTAAGATGGGGAATGGGTGGAGATAAACATAAAATATGATAGCCACTAGTTGATAATTATTGAATATGGATCATAGGCTTGGTTACTAATTCTTTTTGTATATATTTAAAATTTTCTATAATAAATGTATTGAGTTTCCTCTACAAGAATTATAAGCTTTTAATTTACCTAAATGTGTTATTTTAGTCTTACAAGAATTTAATTTTTATGTTTTGTCTTAACCAGAAGCAGATTTTTAAAGGATAACCTGGTATTTTTTAGTTTATTCTCTTCATGGGATACAATGAAATTGATCCTAAATCTGTCATCCATTATTTTCACTGCTTCTTTTCTTGATATATTTGCTCCATGAATTTTTAAAATTTAACTCTAAATGATATGTTTTGATCCTGTATGGAAAACTGAAAATTGTACATATTTTTATTGCTTCTCACTTTTTCTTCTCTGTAACTTAATCTTTTGAATAAATTCTTGTTATTTTTTGGTTCTACAGAAGTAGACTTTTAAACTTGAATAATCTATTTAAGCTTCTATTTCTTTAATTCTCCATATTAGATAATATTCACTAACTTCATGCTAAGAAAAATAAGTATATCACATTTCTTTACATGTTCCTGGCCTTGTGTAAATTTCCCAATCTGAGTGCTTTGACTTTTCAATTTTTTATAACATTACCACACGTATAACCATGAGAAACAACTAGAATAGTCTTACTAGCATTCCTACCTGTGTATTTCATTATTCCTCTGACTGTAAGCAAGCATGACGGGTTAAGTGATATCAAGTTACTAACCAATTTAGTTGGCTCAGATAATGAAATTTGAGACTGTTAAGTAGATGTGCCTTCTAGACTTTGAGTTGATGCTTTGGGGGATGACTTTGGGGGATGGTTTGGGGGTTGACCCGTTTTTCATATGGACATATGTGAATTCTGTTGAGGGGGCATAGAAGAAATTGTAGTAGGTATAATAATAGCCTCACAAAGTTCACGTTCAAATTCCTGAAACTTATTTCACATGGAAAAAAGAACATTTCAGATATGAGACAATCAGAGTTTGAAATGGAGAGTTTATACTGGATTTGTTCAGGTAGGGTCCATTTAATCAAATGACCTCTGAGAATTTGAAAAAGGATGCAAAAGATGTCTTCTGAGAAAGACCTGACTCACACTGTTGTTAGCTTTGAAGATGAAGGAAGAAGGTCCCTGAGCTAAGAAATGTGGTGGCCTCAGAAGTTGGGAACAGCCCTCACTTGACAGCCAACAAAAAAACAGGGACCTCAATTTTACAAATGCAAAGAAATAAATTCTACCAACAAGTCCACTTAACAGTAAACTGATCTCTCCTAGGTCCTACAGGAAAGAATGAAGCTCTGCCAATAATTTTAGTTGGATGAGACTGTACCAAATTTCTAATATATAAAATCATAAAATAATAGATTTGTGATTGTTCAAGAATATAAATTTATGATAATTTATTAAAGCACCAATAGAAAACAAATACAATCTGAGAGCAATTTTTTTTTTTTTTTAGATGGGGTCTCACTTTGTCACCGTGGGTAGAGTGCCATGGCGTCACAGCTCACAGCAACCTCAAACTCTTGTTAAGCCATCCTCTTGCCTCACACTCCCAAGTAGCTGGGACTACAGGCCCCACCACAGGGCCCATTTATTTTTAGAGACTCCTCCACTCTAGCTCGGACTGGTCTGGAACCTGTGAGTTCAGGCAATCCACCCGTCTTGGCCTCCCAGAGTACTGAGAGAAATTTGAATTCCTTACCTAGAGATCCTGTAGTCTCTACCTGCTTCTTGAACAAATTAGGATCTTACAATTAAAGAGAAAGTGTTGGGTGGCAGGGAGAATGATCCTGCCTATCACAAATGACTAATCTCGATGTGGTTTAAATCTCTAGTTTTATCTCTCAGACTTCTACCTCATGCTTTATGATCCAGCAGTTTCCAGTCTGCAGTATAGATGATCCTCTGCTTCTGTGCTCTTAGTAATTCACTTCCCTCTCCTTAGAACACCGGTAGCCCACTGCCCATTACACCTAATAGCCAAGAAATGAGTGCTTGATCCTTCAGAAGAATCTTACTGAATTGCACTTATTATAGACACACACTTTTTCTACCCACGCTTAGTGGATGGGGCGCTGGCCCCATATACCGAGGGTGGCGGGTTCAAACCATACCCGGCCAAACTGCAGCAAAAAAATAGCCAGGCATTGTGGCGGGCACCTGTAGTCCCAGCTACTCGGGAGGCTGAGGCAAGAGAATGGCCTTAGCCCAGGAGTTGGAGGTTGTTGTGAGCCGTGACTTCACAGCACTCTATCGAGGGCTACAAAGTGAGACTCTGTCTCTACAAATAAATAAATAAATAAATAAAGGTAGAGAAAATATATAATAAATCCCTGTTAGCCACAATTTACTTTCAATAATCAACATTTACAGGTCTATTTTTAAATCAGCTAGGACAGTAGCTTTTTATTTCCATGGCAAGTTGATTTGTTAACTGGCATCTCTCCAGGATCTTAGTTTTTCTGAACTTTAGCAGCAATAATAACAAAACGACTCTCAGAAGGAGCCAGTAAGTATAGGAGAGACCAAGATGTGCGAAAAATCCTATTACAGACTAGAGCCTGAAAAACATTTCACAAGCGTCCCACATGGCCACTCCCTTGCGTAGGACAAGTTCAGCAAGGGCAGTTCTCAGTACTTAAGACTTAATTCAAGAAAAAGGTTTTGTTGTTGTTGTTGTCGTCGTCGTCGTCTTGTGTGCGCGCGTGTGGGTCTGTTTGCATTTAATGGCTCAGTTCCGTCTCAGCAATACAGAAAATATGTCCTTGTCGTTTTAGATAAATGGCATTGACTGCAGAATGCTTGAATGCATTTATCCTAAACACAGAAGCACAAGACTGAGGATCTTTTTGGAGTTCGAGCTGCTCCCAGCGAGATGAGAACACACGCCGAAGCAGACCGCTCTGTCCTGCACTGCGGCGGAGGAGGGGTCGGGGGTGGGAAGATGGAGAACTCCATCTAGAATCTGGATCTCAGGCTTTCGGACGCGCTTTAAAAGAAAGAAAAACTAAAGAACAAAAGCCCTGTTGCTGATCCTGATGAGGGACGCCTCCAAACATTACAATCCCGGTTCTCCCCACCTTCCCTCTCATTTCCTCCCGCGGAGGGGAGAGAACCGAACTACACCTCCCAGGATGCACAGCGCGGGGCGGGGCTGAAGAAAGAGCTGATTTTAACCTCGCGCCGGGTTTGGTTATAAACAACAGTCGGCCTTGGCTCTCTTCCACCTCAGCTTGATTGGTTCGGCAGTCCGTGCGTAAGAGGGGCGGATCCGCCGTCACAGGCCGCGGTTGACTAGAGGCTTTGCGCCCCGCCAGCTCACGGTAGCTGATGTTCTTGCTGGAGTGGGAGCGGTAGCTTCTCGGGCCGCCTCGGAGCAAAGGGAACTACATTTCCCAGCGGGCAGCGGGAATGCCGGGCGGCGTGGGGGCGGGGCCTCACGTCGGGTACAGTCATCCCAAGCCTCTGCGGCGGGATTGTGATGGCCGGAGAGATGACGATCTTAGGTTAGTGCCCGGGATCCCTATTACTGTCGTGGGCATCGGGGTGGTCCGAGGAGGCCAAGTGGGCGGGGGTAGTTGTCTCCCTTACTGGATCCTTCGGGCGTTGCGGGAGGGGGGACGGAAAGGTGACTTCAGGGGCAGTTTTGGCTGTTTGGAGCGGGTGGCGCTGGGGCCGCCTCTAGGAGGGCCCAGGACCGAGTAGGCCAAGGTAGGGCCAGCGGTGACCAGCTGCGCGCATCTCAGGGACGTCGGACTTAGGGAAGCGTTCTTTGCAACAGAACCTAGGTTTTGTATTGCTGGTTGGATTTGGCCTTTGACAGACTTCAAGACCGTGCACCTCCAGTACTCCTTTGTGGAGGAAGAGGGAGGAGCAGCTGCAGCATCTGGACCTGTAGACCCCTGGGGGTGCTGAGTTTGGAGGGATTCTGGACTCTTTGATGTATAGCCCAATATTTTTCCCACATATGGGGCTGGGAATTATTCTTCCCTACCTAGTAGGTGGTGTAGTGCTTCTGAAATTTTGCCCATGTACGTATTAGAGGAAGGTGGTATTGACACTTGGTTTCATGTCTTTGAGTTATGTATTGATGAAGATGTGCTAACGGTAGCACAAAGTTTGCGAATTGACATTTTGGATCAGACGTAATATGTTTGAACACAGCCTCCTGAAACCAAATAGGAGATTAATTCTGAATTCATAGAGGCATCTTTCTTCACTTGTATTTACAGTCTACTGTGGCATTTGTACTACTCTTTTTTTTTTTTTTTAATGTTCTTTAATTGATACTGATCATTTCCTTTTCCTGGCGTGGGGGATACCAAAGTGAGCAAAACCTGTCTGCAAGGAACTTGCATGTATGTTGCCATTATCCAACATATGCACCTTCTTCCCTAAATATTCTCTGCAAGAAGAATGTCCGTAGTTCATACTTAAATACCTAAAATGATTTTATGCAATTTACCCATATGATCATTTTGAAAGGGACAAGGAGGTAAATGCAAAATTAGAGTTTTAGCCTTACAATAACAATGTTTAAGTTGTGTAAATTGTATTAAGCAATCTTTTTTTTATTAATGACAATCGAAACTATAAAGCCTAAGCCTTACATATTAGTTGATCAAGAAAATTGGATTATATCTAGCTTTTACTCCACATGATGGTATTTCCTGTCAGGATAAGCACAGTTATTATCAAAATATTTTTTACATTTATTCCTTTTTCCATCTGTTAATGAACTGCCCAAACATGTAATTACAGGGTTTTGTGAGCTTTATTGTTGTTACTTCACTTTTAGTTGTAACCGGTTTTCATTATGAAAAGCTTTATGTCTGAGAGAAATGTTATTTTATAAAAAATATTTTGAGATTTGTATTTTTAGTCTTGTTTCAAAGACTGGTATTAATCTGGCATATTATACTAGTTTGTTAAGATGTATCTTTAATTTGCCTGTATTTCAGGATCAGCTGTTTTGACTCTTCTGTTGGCTGGCTATTTAGCACAACAATATTTACCATTGCCTACTCCTAAAGTGATTGGTATTGACCTTGGCACCACCTATTGTTCCGTTGGGGTGTTTTTTCCTGGTACAGGAAAAGTAAAGGTGATTCCAGATGAAAATGGGCATATCAGCATACCCAGCATGGTATCTTTTACTGACGATGATGTGTATGTGGGATATGAAAGCTTGGAGCTGGCAGATTCAAATCCTCAAAACACAATATATGATGCCAAAAGATTCATAGGCAAGATATTTACCCCAGAGGAGCTGGAGGCTGAAATTGGCAGATATCCATTTAAGGTAAGTGATTAATCTAAAGTCTATTTTAATATTAGTTTAGTGTACTGTTTCATTTAATGCTTTGGCTTCACCTTATAAAATGTTCTATCTCAACTAGCTGTATTATCTTACATAACAAAAGTTTCATACAGCACTAGGGTGAGTTAATTCAGTAACTCCACAATGCTATCAAGAGCTTACGGTTTTACAGTGTTCTTGCTTTCCCATCCTCAGTGTCTGTTTAGCTTGTTCAAGGTAGTAGGAAAGTTGATAAAGCCGTATCGTATACTGTAGATAAGTAGATGTTCTGTATGTATATGTGGACATAGTTGTATACATATAAAGAGAATGTACTGGGTATGCTGTTTTATGACTTATTTGAAACTCAACAATATGCCATGGACAGTTAGTTAATAGGTTCACATCATTATCTTTAATAGTGTCCTAGAATGACCTATTCCATTATTGAATTGACTAATCTCTTATCATTATACCTTTTTTCCTGATTTTCCATTAATACTGGGGGTTCGTAAAATATCCTTATAAATATACCTTAACACACTTCTCTGAAATTTTCCTAACTTGAATTCTAGAGTAGAATTGATAGGTCAAATGTATACATGTTTTTTTTTTTTTTTTTTGTAGAGACAAAATCGCGCTACTGCCCTCAGTAGTGTGCTGCGGTGTCACACAGCTCACAGCAACCTCCAACTCCTGGGCTTAGGCAATACTTTTGCCTCAGCCTCCCGAGTAGCTGGGACCACAGGCACTTGCCAGAACACCCAACTATTTTTCTGTTGCAGTTTGGCCGGGGCTGGGTTTGAACCCACCACCTCTGTATAGGGGGCCAGCGCCCTACCCATTGAGCCACAGGCACTGCCCTGTATACATGTTTTTAAGGCTTTAGATTTCTGTTGCCAACTTGTGCACCAGAAAGATTTTGTGCACTTAAGATTTTTCAGAGTACCTATATCTTCAGTGGTTATTATTTTTTAATATTTGCCAGTTGGACAAATGAAAAGTAGTAACATATTAATTTTCATTTCTTTACTTTCTAGTGAAATCAGATCTTTTTAGAAATTTGTTGATATTTTAATTTTCTTTAGTCATCCATTTTTTGTTTATTGTCTTATTTTCTTTTTCTTAGTGACTCTAAGAGTTGTATGCTTTTGTTATTTTCCCCTTATTATCTTTTAACTCATATAATTTTATTTTGAACTTTCAAAAGTTTAAATTTTTTTGTGGTAAAATGATGTCTAAATATTTTTTTTTAACTGTTTTTGAATCTTACTCTGCTGACTGTGACCTTTCCCTTCTTATCCACTTGTATTTATTTTAGTGGTTATATCAGTGCTATCCATAAAAATTCTCAAATTTTTTTTTTTTTTTTTAATTTGAGACAGAGTCTCCCTTTGTCCCCCTTGGTAGAGTTCCGTGGCTTCATAGCTCACAACAACCTTGAATGCTTGGGCTAAAGTGATCCTTTTCCCTCAGCCTCCCAAGTAGCTGGGACTACAGGTGCCTACCACAGTGCCTGGCTAGTTTTAGAGATGGGTCTCTCCCTTGCTCAGGCTGGTCTGGAACTCCTGAGCTCAAGGCGATCCACCTGCCTCAGCCTCCCAGAGTGCTAGGATTACAGGCGTGAGCCTCAGCGCCTGACCAAAATTCTCCAAGTTGTATTCATTTTCAAAGGACAAAGAAGTTTGCTCCCTGTGTTTGTTAGGTTTATTACTTTGTTCTTTTTTAGTTTTTCTTGGGATTTTGTACTGATTTAATAGCTTTATGGAATGATAAATCAATCTCCAGCCGTGCATTTTGTCTAAATTACAGCTTTGGGTACTTTACTTATTAATCCAAAAGTTGTTTTAAGTTTCTAAGTGATCTGCTGTTTTTGTCTTTACTGTTTTCGTGTGGACTGTGATGGTTCTGGTGTGTTTGTACTTTATTGCAGTAGTGTCTGTATAACTCAGGCTAGTGAAATACTTTTTGAAAGATCAGATTTCCTGACTGAAATCCAATTATGAGGTCTACCTACAGTGGGAAAAAAGTTATAATTTCTGGGGACAGATTAATTCTCTTTACTATTGCTATTAATTTGGTCTATTGGAAATGCTAGAATACTATGATTTAATCCAGATTTTTTAAATGTGCACCTGCTTTTTCAGGGATAATGAACAAATGCACAATACATGTTGTCAGGGAAGTGAGAGAGTAAATGATATTTGATTCCTGTGTAAGAACATAACGAAGTACTAAAATTACTCTTGTTAATATGTGCTAGAAAATTACTTCAGTTATCTATTAGTTTTAGAAACAAGTAAATGGGAAAAAATGGAGAAGACCCTGGGTTAGTAACATCTGTGTCTCCAGCCCCTGGGCCATGGACTGTGCCTGCAGGCAGGCAGGCCAGAGAAGCTTCATCCATGTTTGTAGCCCCTCCATCACTCGCATCACCTTGAGCTCCGCCTCCTCTCACATTCTCACAGCATCGCAAACGCTCCGGTAGACGTGTGCTCTCCTTATGAGAATCTAGCACCTGCTGAACTGAGCTGGAGATGTAATATGCTTCAGTCATCCTCCCACTCTAGATTGTGGAAATATCATCTTCCATGAAAATGGTCCCTAGTGCCAAAATGGTTGGGAACGACTGACAACTGTGACTGAGCAGCTGTTATTTCTTATCTTTTGTCATTTCTCCTGTCATTCATTCATTCAACAAATATATATTGGGAGTTTTCTCCCTTCTAGTTATGTGCTTGGTGATGAGTTGTTCTTTTATTGAAAACTAGTGTGGATTTATTTTATAGACTGTAAAGTATAACATGTAATAAACTCTAATCTTGGTGAATGTATTGTGAGTGCAAATACATTTATTTTTATAAAGATAAGGTAAATTTTTGTTGAACAAGTCTAGTATGTATATATGTATGTACATATATAACTTTTACACATTTTTTTTTAAATCCTGTTTACAGGTTTTAAACAAAAATGGAATGGTTGAGTTTTCTGTGACAAGTAACGAGACCATCACCGTTTCCCCAGAATATGTTGGTTCTCGACTCTTGTTGAAGTTAAAGGAAATGGCAGAAGAGTATCTTGGAATGCCAGTTGCCAATGCTGTCATTTCTGTACCAGCAGAATTTGATCTAAAACAGAGAAATTCAACAATCGAAGCTGCTAACCTTGCAGGTAACAGCACCCTTGCCTGAGTTGCATTTTTTTCCTTCAATTTTTATTATATTAAAAATATTATGTAGTAAGGTTTATTACTGTCCAGGCCTCCTAACTGTAGACACATAAATCAACTATATGGTAGGTAAATTTGATGGCTTTTTATATAGTTTTATAAATGATCATTATGCAAGCTCTGTAGCAAAATGTAAAGTGTGCATGTAACAAGAATCATCAGATAAGTACACGACAAAGGCTGAGGGAGAGCAGGGACCTGTACTAGCAGTGAGGAATTTTTTCTTCTACACTTTCTTTAATGTTAAGGTGGATAATGTAAGTTTTCAAAAAAAATCAGAGGTGGAAGAGAATTCACTTCACCCTATTCTATAAATATTGAATGCCTTTGTCAATAAAATTAATAAATCTTTGTTCTTGTGTACCTTATGTTCTACCGGAAGTAAACATAGAATAAGCTTAGAAGATAAGTTTAATACAGGATTTTTTTTTTTTTTCGTTTTGAGACAGAGTCTTACTTTGTCGCCATGGTAGGGTGCTATGGCATCATAGCTCACAGCAACCTCATAATCTTGGGCTCAAGCGATCCTCTTGCCTTAGCCACCTGAGTAGTTGGGACTGCGGTTGCCCACCACAATGCCCAGTTATTTTTAGAGACGAGGTCTCAGTCTGGCTCAGGCTGGTCTCGAATCAGTGAGCTCAAGCAATCTATCCTCCTTCGCCTCCCAGAGTGCTGGGATTACAGGCGTGAGCCACCACGCCCGGCTAATATAGGATTTCTTACCTCAGGGTGACTAATATTTTGAGCTGGTTAATTCTTTGTTGTGGGGACTGTCCTGTGTACCACAGAATATTCAGGAGCATCCCTAGCTTGTACTCACTACATAACTTGCAGCAGCCTCCCTAACCAAGTGGTGGCGATCAGAAATATTTCTGTACTCGGAATATTACCAGATGTTTCCTGGGGACAAAAGAACTACTAATACAGCATATATCAGAAAGTAACATGCTCTGATAAAAAAGAACATGATAAGGGATCAGGCTTGGTTGTGGTGGTCAGGGAATGGGGAGCTAGTATGTTTTAAATATGGTGGTCAGGAAGGTCTCATTGAGAAAGTGACTTGAAGCACATTGGAAGGTAGTTAGCTATGTAGACATACGGAGAAAGTGGGATGCAGGAAGAGGAAATAGCCAGTGCGATAGCCATAAAATGGGAATTTCCTGGTGCGTTAGAGGATGGGAAGTTGGCCAATGTGGCAGGAACGGAGTGGATGATAAAGTCAGAGCTAAAGGAGGGGTGTTACCGTTTTTGGAAGAGTCTTTGGAATTCTTAGTTATAGTTATGACTCCCGTTGTATAATGCCATATTACTTCCCGGGTCACTCATTTATAATGGTAGTTAGTTTAAAGCATGAATTTTTCTGAAGGAAAACTGATCTTCTGCCTCTAAAAGATAAGCTTATCTTATCTCCATAGCACTTAGTTTATAGTACATAATGATTTAAGTTTTAACGCTCATAGATTCTCAACTAGAATATGAATATGAAGTCAAAAAGGCTTAGAGTTTTTTTTGCAAATTAAGTGTTAATAAAGAACAAAGTTACTTATTTCAGTAAATCTGGACTTTTATTTCTTTGTATTATAATCTTTTTTCAGAATAACTTGAATGATACCATTTAAAAAGTCTATATTGTTTCCATTTCATATTTCTATTAGGTTTGTGATGGCTGTTACTGTTACTCAGTGGAGTTCACGTCATAGAAGATACAAACTCACTGCCAGGTTGAATGGGAAGGAATTTGTTAATCAGGTCTTCTTATGAGTGGTTCTTCTCTTCAACCTATCTCTTGCAGGATTGAAGATCTTGAGGGTAATAAATGAACCTACAGCAGCAGCTATGGCGTACGGTCTCCACAAGGCTGATGTCTTCCATGTCTTGGTGATAGACTTGGGTGGAGGGACTCTAGATGTGTCCTTACTAAATAAACAAGGAGGGATGTTTCTAACCCGAGCAATGTCCGGTAAGAGAAATGGAGGGTTTAAACAGTGCTTTCCTTAACATATGTAATGTGTAGTGCATTTTTTTCTAGAATTCTTTGACTTCGTTTTGGTAATTCTATGTATTTGTAATTTTAAACAACTATTTATGTTTGTTTGTTTATTATTTGAGACAGAGTCTCACTTTGTCATCCTCTGTAGAGTGTCATGGCATCATAGTTCATAGCAAACTTAAACTCTTTAGACTCAAGCAACTCTTTTGCCTCAGCCTCTGGAGTAGCTGTGACTACGGGTGCCCACCACAATGCCTGGCTATTTTTAGAGATTCATGAGCTCAGGCAATCGCCCGGCCTTGGCCTCCCAGAGTGCTAGGATTACAGGCATGAGCCACCCAGCATCATTTATGTATATTTACAGCAGAAAGTTAAGTTTCACAAAATGACTGCATATCCTATAAGTAAAATAAAATACATTGCCAGTTACAGCTCCCTAAGCCAATAGAAATTCATATTGTGATGATGAAGGAAGGGAACAGAGGGAAGAAAACACGTGGCTTTAGCAAATTTAATTTTAGTGTTCCCTAAGGAAATGATAGGCTTTTGCATTCTAAATATTTTTTAAAGGATTTTGTTTAATTTATGTATAAGAATGAAGCCTATTTGAAAAGTTTAAGAGGTAAGTTACAGTGTGCCCTAACCTTTGCATTTTGCTTTTCGTTTATCAGAGTTTTTTTAAACCCTAGTAAATGCCAGAGATTTTTATTACATTATTTTTTTCCTTTGAAATAATTTTCCTTTTACTATTTCTCTCTCTCCTTTAAGAGACAGAATCTCACTCCGTTGCCTAGGCTGGAGTGCAGTGGCCTGATCATCATTCCATAGCTCCCTGCAGCCTCAAAGTGGGCTCACGTGATTCTCCTGCCTCAGTCTCTAGAGCGTCTGGGACTACATGCATGCCTGGCTAATTATTTTTATTTTTTGTAGAAATAGGGTCTCACAGTATTGCTTAGGCTGATCTCAAACTCCCAGCCTAAAAGTGTTCCTCCCACCTTAGTCTCTCAAAGTGCTGGGATTATAGGCATGAACCACTGTGTCTGGCCTGAAGTAATTTTTCTGCTCTATAGTTCTTAATCATGTAAGCAGAATAATGAAAGAATAAAAATATAAAGTGCCTGCTTTTTAATTATCGATAGCACTTTCTACTGTTGACAATGACATTTAGAGTTTTTAAACAGCTATTTAAAGGCTAATCTGTGTTCTCAGTCTCCATTTTTTGCAAATTATTCAGTATCATTAAGAGATACTTCTTTTTATGTCATTTAAAAATTTTAACTATGATGAAAAATTGTAATTGTGATGTGCACTGTTTTTGTAATAGCATATGTTTGGGTTAAATTATTTTAGCGCAGTTATTTTTATTCAGTCTTTATATAAAATCTTTTTTTTTTTTCTTTCTTTTAAGGGAGTGTCACCCATGCTGAAGTGCAGTGGCAGAATCATAGCTCATTACAGCCTTGAACTCCTGGGCTCAAGTGGTCCTCCTGCTTGAGCCTCCTGAATAGTTAGGACTATAGGCAAGCACCCCCACACCTAGCTAATGTTTTAATTTATTGCAGATTGGGTCTCTTTCTGTTGCCCAGGCTGGTCTCAAACTCCTCCATTCAAGCCAATCCTCCTGTCTTAGCATCCCAAAGTGGTGCTGGGGTTACAGGTGTGAGACACCATCCCTTGCCCCTGAAATCTTAATAAGGGATTAAGTTTGTTATTTCCAGAATATAATTTTTATTATACATATGTACACATATGTGCATATTCACACACATGCATAAATATAAACTTTCTTTTCCTTAGGAAACAATAAACTTGGAGGGCAGGACTTCAATCAGAGATTGCTTCAATACGTGTATAAACAGATCTATCAAGCGTATGGCTTCTTCCCCTCTAGGAAAGAGGAAATCCACAGATTAAGACAAGCTGTGGAAATGGTCAAATTAAATCTGACTCTTCATCAGTCTGCTAACTTGTCTATATTACTAACAGTAGAGGAGAAGGATAAGAAGGAACCTCAGAGTAGTGACACTGACCTGCCGAAGGACACGCTTTCCTCAGCAGATGGCCACCAGGTGGACAGTGGATTTGGACCTGGTCTTTTTGAAAAGAAAACTGGAGGAAGTCAAGTTTTATTTGAAACAGAAATATCACGGAAGCTCTTTGATACCCTTAATGAAGATCTCTTCCAGAAGATACTCGTACCCATTCGGCAGGTGTTAAAAGAAGGCCACCTAGAAAAGACTGAGATAGATGAGGTGGTTTTAGTTGGGGGCTCTACTCGTATTCCTCGAATCCGCCAAGTCATTCAAGAGTTCTTTGGAAAGGATCCCAATACATCTGTAGACCCTGACTTAGCCGTGGTAACGGGAGTGGCGATCCAAGCAGGGATTGATGGAGGCTCTTGGCCTCTCCAAGTGAGCGCTTTAGAAATTCCCAATAAGCATTTACAAAAAACCAACTTCAACTGAATTCTGGAGGAATCATGATAATTTATGATCTTATCTGATGAGCTTTTCCCTTTATCAGACTACCTCCTCCAAAACAAAAGAAAGTATCTAAAATATCTCACAAAATTTCCCACATTTAGATACAGGAAATTTTTATGTAGCATTTTGCTTTAGGATTAATTGTGAACAGATTCATCCTACTTGATGTTGGAGAGATACCATTCCAGCAAATATGGGAAAATTGAGGTAAAACTGTCTTAAAAGAGCATGAATGACTATATTTTCTGGATTCTGGAAGTAGATAACCATAGGCGCTTAACATTATATTCTGTAAACATTAAATAGTGCCAATTATAAAATAGTGCCAGTTCTTACTAAATTGTATTAGCAGGAGCTGGTAATTTCCTTACTTGGTTATCAAATGTGACCATTAATTTGAATTATACTTGAAGGACAGTATTGATGTCAGGTATTTACATTGGCTGGGAGATAGCCGTATTATTAGTATAAGCTGCGTACATAATATTCAGTAGCTGCTGCATTATACAGTGTATTTTACATTTACTTACAAATTCAGTATCCTGTTATCTGTCATATTCTCATAATCTGCATTTTCTATGTTTTGAATGTATTCAATAGATCAGTTTTCTTTCTAAAACAGCCACAGGTTTATTCAAATGTTTCAGTACTAGACAGTGGAAATACCTACTGTATATTCTAGTTCCTTCATTTCGTGTATCATTCTCTGGCTTTCTATGATTCTGTTGTGTTAGAAAATAATCAGAAATTATTAGTTGCATTTTTAAAATGTTTTATGTCACAATAAAGCCATTGTTACTATTTCATTTTTTAATATCCAAGACCTTTGCAGACATTGGTAAATAGCATTAATTACTGTATTGATTTTGCATTTTTGTTCTTTCGTTTATACTTTCAGTAAGCCCTGGGGAATATAGCACGCATTTGAGCTATCAAATGGTACTTGATTCAGCTTCACTGAAATTTTTCCTCCTATTTAGCTGTAAGTAAGGAAAGTATGTTCAATCGGAAAAGCTCTGTTACTGTTTTTTGTTGTTATTTTAAATAGTCACACTTAGACTATTTTCAGCCAGCAGGTTAGTGTGCAATGAGAACAGAATGTTTGTGAATTACTGGGATTGATGTAGAAGGCGTTGTGGAAAGGTTTCGTAAATCAGCATTTGAGCTGTGTGTTTGTTTTATTTTTTCTTTGTTTATTTCCCATAAGGAGAGCCACAGGGACCAAGAAAGAAGATAGAGCAGTTCGATTTCTGTGATACTCATTTTATGTGAAGATCTATTTCTGTTTTCCCTTAATAGAGGAATGCTTCATATTATTATCCGAAAATTATATCCTGGTCAACATTTTTGTTACTATAAAATGTGTTTGCTTAATCCATGGCTGAATTTTGAAGGATGTTGAATTTCCAATCGCTGAAAAGGAATCACTAAGCAAATTTATTTCAACAAAACTTTTCAATTTCTTAACAAAAAAGCTACATGTTCATATATTTTGATCTAAAGAAAATGTTTATCAATGAAATTGCTGTTAACACACATTTCAATCAAATACTTTTGTGTAGAAAAAATGTTTATAGTAGATAAGTAGAAAATATAAAGTGCATTGATATGTTTTATTTTAGAACTAAAGAGGAAATGCCAAAGATGAACCCTTCACTGCATTGTGAAAATATCTGAAGTGTTCCCTTGGGCTTTATATAATCTTTCATAGATTTTAACACTGAAAAAATTATTTTTATGAAGGTCTTCAAGAGAAAAGTGTTCACTTTATATCCACAAACAGTATTAGCATTCACCTAAACTGATACAAAATTTTTAAAGACCTTGAATTTCTCCAATATTAACAGAGTTCGAGACAATCTGTTAACGATTTTTAAAGAAACGAATTTATAAAACGAGAGGCAGCTAATCTGAAGCTAATTCTCAAATTGAAATTTAAATAATTTGCATCAGAAAACTAGAATGGCAGTGTTGGAATTTGGGGGCAGTAGTTCAGCATCTTGTCTAGTATAATTGCATCTTTAATGAAATGAAAAGATGTCTGTTTTCAGTCCTGTTGTAGGTGGTTATATATTGTCTTGAAACCAATGTAGTTTTATTTATTTAAAAGATGAGAATGCATCCTGGAAAGGATCATTTATGACTAACAATCCGAAGTTGTTATTCATAAAATAAATACATGTTAGTTGTACAGTTAGCTAGTGTTTTTTGAAGTACATAACTTTTAAAATATTAGGTGTCTTGTGTGATTAGAACGTGTAAATGAGGAATTTATTTTGCATCAGGAATGTTTTGGTACTGTGTTTTCACTCAAACCACTGACTTAACAGATAGTACTGTATGTAACATGTACTGAATATTACAGTTATTGTGCATAACAGATTGTGCCTCTTAAATTTGTGTGTATCCAGGTAATTCGTGTTTTAGTGTAAATAAATACCATTTTGCAGTTTCGTTTTTTAAACTGTGTACTTTTTTTTCCATTCAGAACTGGGCTGGAGTACATTTTTGAGGTATGTAAATAAGAAAGTAGAGATAAAGCCAATCAGATGCTCACACAGCACATGACCTCAATAGCAGTAGTCTAGTTCTAGAAATGGTACATTGCCCTGCATCCATCTCTGGGATTTCTTACACATTTGCCACTTATTTTCCTAATTTAGGAGAGACTGTATGTGAATACTGTTTCCAGAATCCTGAATCCCACTTCATGGCTTCTGACCATAACGTAGTCAAGAGCTAAACTAAACTAAGCTAATCTAGCTAGCTAATAAGTACTCCTGCATACCAGGTTAATGTAGTCCTTTGGTTGATGGTTAATATTTTTTGCTTTTCTAATAAAGTTTCTTTAAGATTTTAGACTAGAACAACTCAATATACTATTTTCTTTGAAGGAACATTTGATCGATGTAGTCTTTTAAGGAGAGCCTTTAAATAAAGGTAGTGAACTTGACCACCTTGCTGGTACTTAAATATATGAGGAAATACAGCGACACTTCCCTGCTTACTTTATTTAACAAATCTACAGAGCTTTATTGAGGTAGGCATCCTCCAACATGGCTCCCAAACATCCCCACCTTGTGGTGTTACTCGCTTCCTTGTGTAATCCTTTTCTCTTGAATTTGGGCAAGATTTAGTGACTCCTTGATAATTAACAGAATTGCAGAAGTGCTGGGATGTCCCTTCTGAAGTCAGGTAGAAAAAAAGAGCTTTTGTTTTACATATACCCTCTTGCTTGCTGGCTCTCTCTCTTGAAGCCCTGTCGCCGTGTAAAGATCAGGCTATGAAAATACAGGTGAAGAAAGGGTCCCCTTGAGGAAGACCGGCCACATGGAGGGGACCAGGCACCTCTGCTGCCAGCAGACACCAGTGTGAGAGACGCCTTGGAATGAACCTCAGCCCTGGATGATTCAGCTACAGTTGACAACTTGAATGCCACCTCATCAGAGCCCTTATACCAGGACCATTCATTAGCTAAGTGACTTTCAGCTTCCTAACCCGTGGAAAATGTGAGAGTATTCAATTTTGTTGTTTTAAAGCACTTTTAGTTTTACTTGCAGTTATTTGTTATACAACAAAGAGTTTTTATGATGTACCAGGTATTCCTCTAAGTGTTTTACTTATACTAACCAATTTAGTGTAGTACTCTTAGAAAATATATGAGTAGGCATTATTATCCTCATTTTCAAATAGGGAGACTAATGTGTTAACGTGTAGGGTGATTTTCCCAGATTATACCCCTAGTAAGTGGCAGAGGTCAGATTCAAGTCCAGTCTATGCTCTGAACCGCAAAGCTGTGCTTGCTGCCTTATCCATGACATGATATAATCCCAGAGTATCTTTTTTGTTCCTTTACTAAACTGCTGGGTGGTATCCACACAAGAACTCTTACTTAGCAGATAATGTGAAATGTACCGCTATTTAATCCTTTCCATTTTTTGACAGGCAGAGTTAGAACTTAGAGATTTCTTAAATACAAAATAGAAATAATAGTACATATTTCAATGGGTTTTGTAAGTACCTGGCACATAGAAAGTGGTAAATATGAATGGACATGGTAATAGGGAAATGAACAAAGAAGTTCAGTGACTGCCATTTTTACATAAAGAATGTCACAAGAAAATAGGTTACGCTCCCTAATAGCCTCAATAGCCTAATCCTATAGGTCTGAATTTTCTGCAAATTCATTCCCTTGATGAAAGTTGAAAAAAATAAATATGTATTGATAAATCACTAGTTAGTTTTGGAAAGAATCAACAGCCTCACATTAAGTTGTTCATGGAATGTTAAAGTAGAAATAATAGGGTTTATTTTATACCTCACTGAGTTAATATTATGTGGCATACCTAAAATATTTCAATTGGTAAAATACTTGGAACTCTATAACTTCTTATACATACATTAAGTTTATATGATAAACACACATTTCTCCTGATAAGAGTTCATCCATTATCTTAAGTTATCTAACTTAGACTATTGGAAACTAGAAACTGGTTTTTAATTATTTCTAATCACTACTTTTCCTATTTCCCAAGTTGCTAAACTAATTTCGACATGGTTGAAAAAGACTTTGAGTAGTGGTAGACTACTACTAAATGCCATCATAATATCTATCCTATTCATTCTTCTAGAACCTAGTTTCATTTGGAACAGTGAGATGCCCTGCCTCAAAAATTACATTTCTATACTTTCCAACTTCCATTACAACGAGGGGTCGCTGTGTGAATCACTAGATAGAAACCCCGACTTTTTTTCTTTCTTAGTGTACGTACTTGGATTATACAAACGTCTTACTCCTTACCATTTGTCTCTTCTCTTTGTAATGCAGATGTGATACTGGATATAAAGTAATGGGTTTACAACTACCAAGCAACAGACACCTTGGATGACTGAGAAAAGGCAGCCCAGTGGTGTTATGAAGCCACCTCAACTAACATCTCCTCTATTCTTTGGGACTTCTTTCTACCTAAGAACAATAAGCTCCTTTTTTTTTTTTTTTTTAATTGTTTGGGATTCATTGAGGGTACAAAGAATTAGTTTACACATTGTATTTGTTAGGTAAAGTCTCTCTTGTAATCATGTCCTGCCCCCAAGTGGTGTGCCATACAATGTCACCCTCCAACCCTCCTCGCCTCCCCTCTCCCTGATCCCTCATTACCCTACCCCCACCTTGTAGTAGCTCATCTACTGCCTTCATATTAGAATTGAGTACATTGGACTCTTGCTTCTCCATTCTTCGATGCTTTACCAAGAAGACTATGTTCCAGCTCCATCCAGGTTAATACAAAAGATGTAAAGTCTCCATCTTTTTTAATGGCTGAATAGCATTCCATGTTGTACACGTACCACAGCTTGTTAATCCGTTCCTGGGTTGGTGGGCATTTAGGTTTTTTCCACATTTCATTGCAACAACAACAACAATTAACAAATGGAACTTAATTAAGCTGAAAAGCTTCTGCACAGCTAAAGACACAACAAGTAAAGCAAAGAGACAACTTCAGAATGGGGGTATGAATCTGACAAAGAGTTGATAACTGGAATCTACAGAATACTCTAACTCAAAAAGAGGCAACAATCCCATCTAACTCCGGGCAAGAGATCTGAGCACCTTATTTGTTTACATTTCTTTATTTGCTTTTCCTTCGTTCTTCCTTGTACTTTGTTAAATTTATGACCCTCATTTTAAGGTTAAACATTTAGTCAAATTGTTCTGTGTTGGACGTCTATTTCTGGTAAAGATGGAATGAGAGAAATAGCTTTTCCCTCCTGCCTGCATCAATTAAAAAACTGGACAAAGAGGGCAGCGCCTGTGGCTCAAAGGAATAGGGTGCCGGCCCCATAGGCCAGAGGTGGCGGGTTCAAACCCAGCCCTGGCCAAAAACTGCAAAAAAAAAAAAAAGAAAAAAACTGGACAAAGTGTATGAAATAATCGTTTTGAAAATCTTACTCGTCGTAGCCGACAGTAATTGCTGTGCATTAACTCTGTACAATCATAGATCTGACAATAGAGGTCAAGCAATGGGATGTTCATGTCCTGTAATACCTGGGAGTTACTGCACAGACGCTCAGAGTAAAAAGCAGAAGTTCAGAGGGAATTCGTGGTGACCGAAGTGGTTTTAATATTTATGCCTAGTTCCTGGGGCGTTCCACTGTCTTGCATTCCAATAACACAGTTTAGTTTTCTCCAACATTTCATTTTCTACTATATGTACCAGAGGAAAAGATGGTCACAAACCAATGCATTAATGATGACCTGAGTTTTATAAACACAAATTCAAAAATCGATCCCATGTTACTTTCCTTGGCACACCAAAAAATGCCTATGTGTCAGTTTCTTCTAAATCTCTGGAGCCAATTTAAAATATTTTTAAATTTATCATCTATTTGACATTTCACGAGTATGCCCGTTTCTTTTTGTTTTGCTATTGTGAGGCATTCCTGAGATAAATGAAAGGTCCCTCTCTTTAGGCAGTAACGATAACTAAGTTCAGACTGGTTGTTCTATACATAACAAATGAGCAGCCCTTGTTACCTATGTACTTAGTCGTAATCAACAAGAAAAGCCAGTCAGCCTTTGCGTGGTTTGGTCCCATTACTACAGCCTCACTAACCAACAGCATAGCAGTCACATGAACCACCAAATGTCTTTATGTCAGTAGGTTTCGAGAACTGTGTCTCACAATACAGCCAGGAGTCCCAACTTCTTGTATCTTACAAATGGTCCACTTATATATAGAAAATTGGGACCAAAAGGAGAGCTAGAAGGAACCTGGAGAGCTGACCTAACTGCTTGCTCCTCACCTGTGCTTGATCTCACTAAGATCATATTGTGTATCATCAAGAATCGTGTCTTATTTTAACCTCCAGTTCTCCCAACACTGCTGGGCATAGAACAGGCTTCCATAAACCTTTTGCCCTTTTTATTACAGTGTAGCCTATAATGTGATTTTGTAACTATGAAACTACAGTTAAAAGCACTGACTGTTGTGTCAATAACATGTAATGGAATGCTTTCTATATGCCAGACACTGTCCTAAGTGATAATGTGTATCATATAACTTAATTTTTAAAACAACCTTAAGAGGTAGACAAAATTATTCCTCTCAAATAAGCACAGAGAAGTCAGTTAACTTGCCCAAGTTTATACAACTCACAGGTGGTTGACTTGGGATTGAACACAGGCATCCTGTCTCAGGATGGTGAACTCCTAACAACTATCATATTGGCCTATTCTAGTTTTTTTTTTTTTTAATTTTTTAAAAAAGATCCTCTAAATCAGGTAGAACTATTTATTACTCATACACATATTAAATGTAACATTGAATTTTCTTAATGCTAAGTTTAATATCCAGGCTGTGCTCATAAGTATATGAAATTGCCATTATATTTTAACCTAAAAAAATGACTATTTCATATAGTTCAAACTAATACCAGACTAAATAACACCACAAACTTTAATTTTATTTACTATTTCTAGAAAGCGACTGGTTTAAAATCTATCTCTATAAGGATTTTGAATCATTCTTAAAATACAGACTCTTTTAAAGTGTCTCCTCTAAGAATGAGACATCTGGATAAAGAATTGGAAGAGCATGATCAGTTTTATCCTCACATAGACCTGGATTCTGCATCTCACTGGCCAGGCTCCTCTGGGAATGGTAGTATCATTTGTGGTAAAACAGAATGGATAATCCTTTGTTACATGGCTTGGTGAGGACGGAAGTGGCAAATGCTCCAAATACCTTGCACATCGTGGGCTTTCAACAATATTCTCATGATCTCCAAAGAAAGCAACTTAATGCTGTTTAGAATTTTTCTTATATCAGCTACAGTAAATACCTTCGCATATTGAAGTTATATTTACTATTTTCTAAATCCATTTTGAAGCTACAGTTTTTAAACAAATGTTACAATTGTAGAATAAGCTTTTTAAAAGTACATATATGCCACCTCTCTGTAATCTCGTCATTTTGAGTACGCTAAGTGTTTTTTTAGTGTACTAAAGTGATTTAACAAGGTTGATGTGCATAATTAAAATAAAAATAAAATAATGCATTTCTTAAAGCAATAAAATTGTCTTCGAGTAATTTTGGTTATTCATTTTAATTTTTTGCTTTCTTTTTACTTTATGTAATTATATATGATAAAATTAGTATAAATATACTTATTTGCAACTACGAATGCTGTCCAGGAAGTACCCAGCCATTATTAATACTATTTTTCATATTACAAGGCTGGATGCTTTTACATAGCATATACACACACACACACATATGTATGTATATATATATATATATATGTGGAGAACTGTATAAATCCTGTAGCATACAGCTTAAGGGTAAAAGTGTGGGGCACTAGGGACAGAGCAATCTGGACAACAGCCAAGCATCACTGCTGGCCCAGTTTACTGAAAATAATACTCACTACTCTACTATCCCAACCCTAAGTCTTATTTAGCAGTGAAAAGAAAAAGGCAGGACAGAAGTGCAGTAAACAGAATGTGTTAAGAGTTCAATCATGCAACTAAAGATAAACTCCTTGTTTATAACCGTTTGTCCTTTTGTAGCTTGCCACTATGCAGTATGTTCTCATGCCTGAGATTTCAATAAAATCCCCCGTGAGGATGCTTGGAGGGGCCATGCCCTTGCATCTCCGTGTGGAGGACTTATTTGGTATAGGCCTCCCAGGGTCTCTCAGTTCAATGCACATGGACCTGAGCAGGTGTTATTTATTTGCATTGAGTCACACCAACAATATCCTCAGTATGCAGCTTGGTAATTTTCACAAACTGAACCAACACTAAGATTCAAATCAAGGAACAGAACAGAACTGTGTTCCTAGAAGCCCACCTTCTACGTCCTCTCTGTCATTACCTTCCTCGACCCAGGATAACCAGTATTGCAATTTCTAATATTATTAACTAGTTTTTCCTTTTTTTGAAAAGTGACTTGAATATAAATGGTATCATGAACTCATATAACATTATTTTGCAGCTGTATAGAATTCCATTATGTGAAAATACCACATTTTATCCCAGTTGCTTTTGATTTCCCATTAGATTTTAAAGTTATGCAGCTTCTCTGATTTACTGAGGACCACAATAGAGAGCTAAACCATTTTTAACTGACATTAATGAAGTACCTTGATCCCTTTCTTAATGGAATTCAACAAATCCTTATTTAATTTTTATAAAGCACTTCAGGGATTGTAAAGACAGGGCAACATTCTAAAGGGAAGAGACTTTCAATAACAAAAGGGTTTATACTTTAAGTCAACTTTTCATGAATACCCTTAGGAAATAAAGCAAGATCATATAAGGTTGAATAGAGGAGATATAAGAAATAGTTGATGGGCCTTAAAGAACTGTCTGAATATTTTATTAAAATCAACTTGAAAGAAAAATATTGCTAAATTTAAAGTTTACATTTGAAGGACAATTTAGAGACATAATGTTACTTCTGTTACATCCAACTACTAAATTCAAAAGCCCTTCGAAATAGGATTAGTACTACAAATCAATAATCCCGTGAATGTATACCACCTGATACATATCACACTGAGCCTGACCCAGCCAGAAAATGATGTTCCAAGGAAAACATCATTTTTTTCTACTAAAAGGCAAATAGTAAAAACATTATAAAACATTTTCCAATACAGCAGATCATAAAATTTAGTTAATACAGTATATAACTATTCTTTCCAAAAAGTAGGTGAATAACTTATTTTTTTCTGTGCTTTCAGAAGTTCATAAAATGTACATATACATACATACACAAATAAATAAGTCTTTAAATTACTCTAAAATGTTTAGTTATTTATTCTACAAACATTGATTGGCTATCAGTTTTGTGAAAATTACTCTACTAGGAACCAGCCATACAAAGACGATGAAAACTGGGGACTCGCCTTCAGGGACCTTTAACTGGGGAGAGGCAGACATTAAAGAATTAAAATAAAGTATGGTCCCAGCTACGACAGAGCTTTGCATGTGGGGATAACGGGAACAAAGAAAAGGGGCACCTAGATCACAGGGGCAGGCAGAGAGGGTGCTCAGGGGACACTTCACTGAGGAGGTGACTCCTGAATGAAGTCAGAGACTTAAAGGTTAAGTAGTGGCTCTTAGCACTTTGGCCATGCAGAGAAGGCCGGCAGGATGTGGGAGGGAAGCCCGGGCACAGGCAAGAACAGTTAGAAACAGTGCTGCTTCCTGGGACGTGGGTGCCGTCCTGTAGCCAGGGTCCTGCCTTGCCGCATTTCTCCCCTACTATTTTTTTTTTTCTAAGTACTAATGCACTACTTTCTTTTTTAGCTCGGTATAATCAACATGCAACAAAAATAATTTATGTTTTTGTCTCGGAATCTGATGTTATTCCAGCTTCTCTTGTCATCTCAAAGAAAAGTCCTTTCTGAGCTATCAAATTCCGTGGTGCTTCAAATTCTACAATCCTTCCAGAGTCTAGAACAAGCACCCTGCAATGGCGGGAGAAAACAAACAAAAACATCAGGTGAACTATGATCAGTTTTCCACCTCAGCTGTTTGATCTTGCTAAAGTCAGGTTTCAATTACTCTGTGAATCATTCCAGTACAGAATAGAGGCCCGAGTTAATTCGGGAAATAAATAAATCAAGTTTTCTAACATTCTTTCAGTATTAGATTTTTCTTCTAATTATTTTGGAAAATATTTTCTACACCACTCGGGAAAACTTTTCCTAGCACAGATAAATTTGTTTATTAGTGACAGGCTGTTAGTGTGTTTTTTTTATGTAGAAATTGGTTTCTTTCTGAAAAGAAAGCAAGCTTACCTGTCTGAATCAATGATGGAATGCAGTCTATGGGCAATCGTCAGGATGGTGCAATCAGAAAATCCCTTCCTGATTGTGGTCTGCACCAGGTTATCTGTCTCAAAGTCAATGGAGGCCGTTGCCTCATCCAAAATGAGAATTTTTGTTTTTCGAAGCAAAGCGCGAGCAAGACAGACAAGCTGCCGTTGTCCCACACTGTTGGGGGGGGGGATATATATATGTTAAATATATTATATGATATATTAAATGTATCAATATATTGATATATACATTGAGTTCTAAGAAGAAGTCCAACACACAGAAAGAAGTATACAGTATTGGTATGGGGTGGGCATTCTATTAATAGATAAGCAAGACCTGAAGGAAGGTTGGTTGCAGTGGCTCACACCTGGAATCCTAGTACTCGGGGAGGCCAAATTGCTGAGCTCAGAACCTGAAGACCAGCCTGAGAAACAGTGAGACCCTGGCTCTACGAAAAATAATAAATCTAGCCCTGCATGGTGGCCAGTACCTGTAGTCCCAGCTACTTGGGAGGCTAAGGCAAGAGGATCACATAAGCCTAAGTGTTTGAGGTTGCTGTGAGCTATGACGCTTCAGCCCTCTACTGAAGCTTGACAGTGCGAGACTGTCTCAAAAAAAAAAAAAAAAAAAAAAAAAAACCTGAAGGAAGAGGAGAAAGAGCCATGCAGGTTTCTGGTGGGAAACTTGTTTCAGTCAAAGGTAACTAGAAATGCAGTCTCTAAAGCTGCCATGAGCTGGCCTGGTAAACTCACGCAACAGTAAGGAGACCAGTGTGGACGGCAGACGCACGGAGAGAAAGGCAGTGAGTGAGAAGTCCTGCCATGCAGGCCATCAGAGGGATCTAGCAACTCACTTTCCAGAGTCTCTGATCACAAGAAGGGGACTGTCTCAGTGACTGAGAGAAGGCAATCCCCTACACTATTTTTAAGTGACTAGGCTATTGGTGTAGCAGTAATGAGAAAAGAAGATTTCACTAAATGGTGACCTTCTGCAGTTTCCTTTTTCTTTTCTTTCCCTTCACCAACGTTTCCCCAGCCCTTGGCTCCCATTTTCTTCCTTGTTTCTCTTCCCTTAAGACAATCAGCAACTTGTTGCCAACAAACCAGACAAGCTCCTTAGCGGCTCGAGAGCTGTTTGCCTTTGAGGACAATTTCTAAAGAGCTTAGAATGAATAAGCAGGGCAAGCTCTGTTCTCGGCAGACTACCTGAGGTTCTCACCACCCTCTGAAATCTCGTACAGCAGCTTCTCAGGAAGGGACTGCACCAACTCTTTTAAGTGACACAGTTCCAGCACCTCCCACAGCTCACTATTAGAATAGTTATTTAGGGGATCCAGGTTCATTTGAAGGGTTCCAGAAAATAAAACAGGGTCCTAGAAAATAAAATAGTCACCTGTAATCTTCCTGTCAACTGAGGCATGCATATGTTAATAAAAGAATCAGATTCAGAAAATAAAGAAAAAGCAAAATGATCTAATATAGTCATCAAATGCATTTTGTATTTAAAACAAAAACAGAAGAAAGCCCAAATAAACTACAACTTAAATTATCCTAAGTCTCTTGATTCTCTTTTCCCCCTCCCATTATTTACAATTGTGTCATCAACCACTGTAATAATGGTGATGCCACGTCGTCAGGAATAAGATGTAACATATAATAAATATAAATGTAATACGTATATGATATTATCATTCAGAATACCAACTCAAAAAGATGGAAACTAATATTCCCAATTTACAGACAGTGAACTGGGGGTTCCAAAGTGCACTTTTACAAGACCACACAGAAGATAAGTTGTTGAGTAGAATTCAAACCAGACTAAGTTCGTTTTATTTCCACTACACTTACATGCTCGGTGAAACTATATTTTACTACACTTGCATTTATTTATAAGAGAGGAATGGCTGATGTCTCTTTTTTCCAGTAAATTTTTTTTTTGCCTGACTGAATTTCAGATGTTACCCATTTTGGGGGGAGAGTGCATAGGTTCTTTCTCTGTTGCCTTGGCTAGAGAGCAGTGGTGTCACTATAGCTCACTGCACCCTCAAACTGCAACTGCAGGCATGCACAACTGTACCCAGCTAGCTTTTTATTTTTTTGTAGACACTAGACATGGGATCTCACTGTGTAGCTCAGTCTGGCCTCAAATTCTCAGCCTCAGGAGATGTGCCCACTTTGGCCTCCTGAAGTGCTAAGATTACATGCATCAGCCACGATGGCCAGTCTCAAATTTGTTTTGAAGTAAATCCTCTAATACAAGGACATGCTCAAACAACATGATGAAGCGATATCTTTATTTTTTAAGATCTTTGTAGAAAATAGTACTAAAATATTTAGTAAATGGTCAGAAAACATCTTATTTTCTCAAACTCAACTGAATAAATCATATTTGATTTTACAAACATCATATTCTTAAGTCAATTTGCAAACTTGATAATGATCAAGTTTCTTTTATTCTACAAAGAAACTCAAAGGACTTCAGAAAAGAAATCTCACTAAATTATGAGTTGTGTTTCACTGTTTCTAAACTTCAAGACAGAAGAATCAAACTACGCTCAAACTACCAAAACAAGGCTTCACAATGTTTTTCTTCCAAAACATTCCAAGGCATTTCAGTCTGATTTATTCCTTTGAATTTTATTTGTACTTACAATTAGGAAAGGTAATATTTCAAAGAGATATACTAGTTCTTCAAACACATAAATGCTCTTAGAAAAAATGCTTTATAGTGAGAGTGTTTAAATAGGGATCAATCAAATACCAAGTTTTGAAAACATATTTAAAATGATATGGCTTCGGAAAATGAATTTATATACTTAAAAGGAACAAATTATAAAAATGAAAAACAAACAAACGGTTTACTTGGAGTGAGTTAAGAAAGACTACTGGAAAGCACCTCACCTGTGGAATAATATTAAGTTTGCCCCGAAGGTCGTGAAGTCCAATAGTGGATATATCGATTCCATCAATGATAATTTTGCCTCCTGATCTCTCCACAATTCTAAATAAGCAATTCGACAGCGTTGATTTGCCTGCTCCGGTCCTTCCCACAATTCCAACCTGTGTGGAAATGACCATCAAGTGTTCATGCTACACGTTCTGTAAGGGAGCGGGGCCTCTGCACTGACAACAAATACCCTACTGGCCAGATGAGTGGGATCTAATTTTTCATCTAATGCCTCAAGTGGTAGGAAAAATGTGAAGTGACTTCTAAGGGTCATCTTTATCCAGATACCCTCTACTCACCGGAGGGGCTCTGGCTAATGTGTATTTTTCGTCTATTTATAGATATTTAGTTATTACCTAACTAGAGAACTGCAGCAGCCCCAGGAAGAACAGATCACTCTGAACCACCTCTGATCTAACATCAAAGGCAGGAAAGGGCGGAGGAGGCAATGATGATAAAATGGTTTGACTGGGACTTGCAAAAAGAAAGTTTTTTTTCCTACCCTCCTTGCCCCCAAACAAACAAACAAATAAACAAATGAAAAGCACTCAAACCTTTTGCTAGATGGGCTGGAGAATTTAAAGGCATGCCAGTAAATTTCCCTGGTGTATCAGAACAACTTAACATTAAAACTATTGGGGGTGACCACGGATAATGATTTAGGATTTGACTCCTGGCCAAAATAATTGGCCTGTCATAAATATCCCAGTATTAAACATGTCCCCTTGACCATGAGAACTAAAGCAACTTTTTTCTGTTTTCTGATGCATGTGTTAGTGTTAATAGGGACATTAGGCAGAAAGAACATTAAGGTTTTTCACTTGGTCTAATGTACAATTTTAAATCTGAAAATTATATCAGAGGAAAAAAAACCCAGGAATCTACTGAATCAAATCAAAATTCCAAAATGATTTCATTTTTTCCTGAAGTATTTCTGTTCCCAAAATATATGCCCTAATGTGTTTATCTGTTTGCCTTTTTTTTTTAGAGACAGAGTCTCACTTTGTTGCACCCAATAGAGTGCTGTGGTGTCACAGCTCACAGCAACCTCCAGCTCTTGGGCTTAGGCGATTCTCCTGCTTCAACCTCCCAAGTAGCTGGGACTACAGGCACCTGCCATAGCACCTGGCTATTTTTTGTTGCAATTTGGCCAGGGCCAGGTTCAAACCCGCCACCCTCTACACATGGGGCCAGTGCCCTACTCATTAAGCCACAGGTATCCCCCTTATCTGTTTGCTTTTTTAAAAACACAAAACTGGAATCATACTATCAACAGTTTTGTAAGTTTCTTGTATTAACTAAATTACAAGCATCTTTCATCTCTAATAGTCTTAGAAAACATGATGCCATTGACTATATAAATCATTAATAATATGCATTTACTGTTTCAGACAATTTTGTTTATTGTTATAAATCATTTTATAAAAGAAGTAAAAATATACACTAAAATTATGTTTCACAATAGTGCGGGAGCAATTTAAAAAATACATTTTTCTTTAAAGAGATAAAACTTATTCTCTACCTATGAATCACAGATTATTACTTCTATATGAAATTTTAACAAAAGACCACTTTATATTCAATATTACTTCACACTTAACGAATGCATTCAGAAAAAAAAGAAAAAGAAACATAAGAAACATATGTGGCACCTTTTCTTCTTCACGAGTCTTGAAAGTGATATCTTGTAATGCTAAGCCAAGATCATCTCGGTATCGAGCCTGAAAATTAATAAATTCCACTATCCCTTTATTGGGCCACTGTTGTGGAGGCCTTCTAGACATTATCCAAGGTGCCTTGAAACAAAGAAACACCCTTTAAATGACAATTACAATAAAATACACCCCCACAAAATAATTCTCATGCATATAAACAAAGTGAAGATGAATGATGATAAATGGGACATTTATAGATATTATGATTTTCTGAAAATAGTTTTAAATACCATCAGAATAAAACCTCTCATCTAGTTGTAAGAAAATCTTAGAAATAAATTTTACAGGTAAAAGATTTCCCATCATCTGTCAAGTTATTAAGAAATACCTCTTAAAATCCTTTAAAAACCTGAAGGCAACCTGAAATTTTAGCTGAGATGAGGACCGTCTGTCAGACGTTCCTTCCCCAAACACTGAACGTTTGCTGTCCCTGTCATTGTATTAGTTGCAGGAGATTTGGCAGTGAAGAAAACAGATAAACATTCCTACCTTTGTGGAATGCACGTGCTGAGAGGAGTAGAGGCAGAAAGAACCACATAGTATACGCAGAATCTGAGATGATCATACAGCTTTGGAAGACAAGAAGAAATGGGCAGAGTTGATAGCAGGAGTAGGTGTTATTTTAAGTAAGGTGGTTAAGAAGAGTTTTCCCGGTCATGGTGGAAAGCTCCTACTTGAACTTGGTGGACGCTCCTGTATAGCATTCTAGGCAAAAGGACTAATAACTAGTTGGAGCTAATCACTTTTTGCCCAGGACTCTGCGATGGGCTTGTCTGGAACACAGGAGAAAACCTGAGGCAGAACACAGAGGGGGGTATGGTGCCTGGGCAGTGGATGAAGTGTCCCATGGAACAGGGAGTCAAGGCCAATGTCAAATGATAGGCCAGGTAAAGGGAGGACAAAGAAAGGGCCCTTCTTGATCTTGACAAGGGCAGGTTCAATGGAGTGGTAGGATTGAAAGCCTGTTTGAATCAGGTCCAAAAAAGAGTGAGAGAAAAGGAAATGGAGAAGCAAATACAGGCAACTTTTCAAAAAATATTCTTCTGTAAAGGGGAGCAGAGAAACAGAGCTGTAGAGGGGAGAAAGGGTTACTATGTGTTCAGACAAATTTACCTCTTCCATATCAAGTATTTTTGCAGAAGTATTGGTCACAACTTTCATCACATTTTATAGAAGTTTTGTTTATTTTTTTAAAAGTATGTGTCTATACATACACATTTTATCATCTTTTTTCTAATGTGAAAGAAATATCTATTAATAGCAAAAAATTTATAAAAATATGTGTATGCATATGCATTTTTACAGACAGGATCTTGCTCTGTTGCCTAGGCTGGAGGGCAGTAATGCCATCACACCTCACTGTAACTTCAAACACCTGGGGTCAGGTGAGCCTCTCACCGCAGCCTTCTGAGTAACGAAACTACAGTTGCATGCTACCATGCCCAGCTCATATTAAATTTTTTTTTGTAGCGACAGGGTCTCAGTATGTTGCCCAGGCTGCTCTTGAACTCCTAGCCTCAAGCTATTATAATATTTCACATGAGTTAGCAGATGAAAAATGACTAAATAACTTGAATATTTATTACTTTGGATTACTTATTGTGAAGGTAGACTAAACTTTCATGAAATTTATATGAGAAGAAAAGATAAGACCTTGGGAATAATCTACAGAAGAATCAAAGTTCGGGTAGGACTTGGAGGATACAGAAAATATTTTACCTTATTTATTGGCTGAGTGGAGCAAGAGGGTAGAAGGTGGAAGAAGTAGACAGGGCCTCAGAGAAGACAGGAGGTGACAATACCAAAAATACAACTGGAAATGTTAGATTTTTATTTGGAGGAGGGGCACCTTTTCCTTAGACTTATGAGCCAAAGGATAAAAGTGAGGAACAAAAGAGAAAAGATACTTTCATGGTTGAAAAAGAGCCAGGCATTCAAGTTAGCTTTCCCAGACGCAGTGTTAATTAGTGAAACATCGGTGCAGACGTAACAGAGGTGAGTGAAATACAGGGATAATTTAAACATGAGGCTGTCCATGGTCAAATTCTTTGCCCCTTGAATGACAGTTCATTAAAAAGAACAAAATGGACTGATTGATTCCCCTCCGCCTTCCCATTCACAGAGTTGCTAATGATGGGTAAATGGAGCAGAAGGTACAGGCAGTGAGGATGTAATCAATTTGGAAACTGCAGACTCTAAATAGTTATGAGACAACTAAATGAAGACGCTTTCCTCCATGTAAATCCCCACACGGTTGTAATTATATGTTGGATATTTTACCCTACACATCAGCAGAAGACAAATCACTGTGTCTTTTAAAAACAGGTCATTATATTCCCTTCTTATAATTCACAGAAATACGGATGTGTCTCATAATTTATGGACTGTCCTAACTAAATAAGAAGTGTTTTTATTTCTACTTTAGTGACATATAAAATGATGGTCCATTTTACAATATTTTTTGTTTTAATTTCATTGACGTGTTGAATATTACATGAATTTGGAAATATAGGGCTTATAAATTATATGGAGTAAATAATAGTTGTCTGTCTTTATAGGGCACATGTGATATTTTGATCCAGGCATACAATGTGAATTAATCAAATCAGGGTAATTAGGATACCCATTACCTCAGGCATTTAACATTTCTTTTGTGTTAGCACCATTTCAATTCTATTCTTCTAGTCATTTGAAAGCATGCTCTAACTTATTATTGATTATAATCATTTTGATGTGCTATCAAATATTGTTCACTTTAATCTAACTATCTAACTAAATTTTTGTACACATTAATTATTCCCACTTTATCCCCCCTTCCAAAATTCAGGTTTTGTCTAAAATTTATTTTTTAAATGTCAATTCGAGATATATTAAAATATCCTAATCTTCCATCTAGTTATTGGTTACTGAAGAGTACTTACCTCTTTATCCATATTTTCATATTCACAAACTCTTTCAATGGAAACGGCATTGTTTTCAATTTCACATACCTTCCTCACCCAAGAATTCAAGGAATGAGTAATCTGGGATGGGAGATGATGGAGATGGGAACAAGAGCTTAATGCATGGTGGTTAGTCTTGTACGTGATATAAATAATACATTATTTCTAAAGTTTCACTTTTTAGTGTTTTCACATACTTTATTTCTGTGGATTATTTAACAGCTCTAGAAGTAAGCATATTTCCTCACATACACACTTGTTTCTGTAAGTAGATTAAACTTATTAATATTCTAAAGAATGCCATTATTTGGCAGAGGATAGAAGGGCCATAGTTCAGCGTGGACTAAGAAAGTCCATATTTAGAATAAGGAATGATGAATACCTTGATGAATACCAAGATTGAGGAGATATGCCTCAAAATATTACATCCTAAATAAAAGAAAAACACAGTACCCAAACATTTGGACATTCTTCACTATTTTCCATTGGAAGGAAGTTTCTCCTAATTTTCTGACTTTCCGTGTCCTTTTCCACTCTTTCTAACCATACTTTCTTCTTCTCTAATCTCCAATGTACATTCTCCAAAGTTATTATTTCTTGTCTGATTCTAAAACTCAGAAAGCTTTTACAATCCGCGTTTTTCTTGAGATTTGTGCCAACGCCTTTGATGGGCCACCTGACATGATCTGGCATCGGATCATTAAAATGTTTATTTAACCTACTTAGGGTGATATTAGTATATTTCATTGCACAAAACAGTCCTATTTGATTATGGGGTTCAGCCGCAGGCCCTGCTTAGAGATATGTGCCATATTCCATTTCTAGACGCCTAAATTCTGAATTCTAAAGTGCAAAAGGCCTCAAGGTTTCTGGGTAAGTCGCTAAAGGTCTATACCAAAGTCATCAAGACTTATCTTCTAAATAAGGTGAAATTAAGTTTAACAGTTTAAAGCACTTGCTATTTTCCAAAGGGGGCACGGAAACTCTCATAAGTGTGTGTGCGTGTTAAAATACCACTAGTTATTTGTGGTATAAGATAAGATAGGGTTTATTAGGGGAAAACTTACAAGCAGAAGAGAAGCAGCACATAAACCTTCCCTAGAGGTTGCAGTATTTTCTCGCTGGGCAAACTGAATGCATTGGCCATGGTGGAGAAGGATGATACCCTGTAACATGCTATTAATCTATAAGGGTAAGACAGCAGAAACTTCTGCGTAGCTATCGGACAGCAGTAATTTCCTGGTCTCTTAATGCTCAGCCTTGTGTATCAGCCTGTTCTTCCTATTAGCTAGCTTAAAACTGCTGAGCCAGATTTCTGCTACCATAAAAATAGAGAGATGTAAGCCTCCTGGGTAATTCAGATTTGTCTCTCATTACTTAGTTAATATAATCTATAATTTATGCAGGCAAAGAAAAGTGTTTAATTAATTGGTCTATAGACATGTTATGTCCTACAAAAATCATTAGTTACTTACATTTAGGGCATAGGATATAGATAAACCAACTACGGCTGAATCTATGGAGTCTCCAGCCAGCACAGCCAGCAGTGCAGTAAAGAACACCACTGTGTTGCCAAGAAATTCAAGTCTAACCGACAGCCACCTAGGGTAAACAGGATGTGTGCCTTAGTCACTGAATGGAAAAGTTTCGTGGACTTAGTATAACTCCCTCTGGGAAACCAAGATGTAAACATCAATGGCTGCTTTTCCTTGTTCCCCCACTTACCTGGAAGTCAGTTAAACATAGGATTGTCATATAGTGATAATATACAAAATTCCTCTGCATAAAAACATGCTTGCAGAACTCTGATTTAAAACTTGACCAGAATTTAAAAGGAAATGAAAAGAACACTAGCTAAAATCCTATGGGGTAATCAATTATCTTTCCAATTCCATGAACTTTTTATATGATAAAATTATTCTCTAAAAACTAAAAGGTGTCCAACTACTATTGAATATTTCATTTATTCTTCTTTAAGAGGAATGATAGCTTCAAATTCAAAAATTGTATAAAATATTGTGTGCAAATAAAATATATTCTAAAAATATAAAATACAGTGTAGAATCATGTCATAAGTAATTCTAACAACACCCTGTATATCCTTCGACAATTTGGGACCTTGTTTCACTGTAGTAGTATGTGCCTTTTATACGACTATACATAGATACAATTTAATGTAAATGTATATTAATACTAACAGTATTTAGGACTTATGAATACTTACATTTTTAATTGGATGAAATGCCATTACAAAAGCCTATTTCTTTTTAGAAGTCAGTGAACAGGATAGCTAGGAAAGCTAATCTTAAGTTAGGTGTATGAGTGTGACTTACCTGTTTGAAATTACATTATTGTAGAAACAGACCAAGTTCTCATTCACCACCTCCTTGTTCTGCTGGATGAATCTGTGCTGGTGTCCAAAAGCTCTGATAGTGGACACGCCCGCTAACGTCTCACTAAAGTGGGATATGACAGGAGAACGAGAAGCTCCTGCCATCCGCCGAAGCTGCCGTGAGCTCGCCATGTAACGTCTCTAATTGGAAGACAGGAAGAGGACATTGCAAAGATGTAGTGAAATCACTTCAGGGTTTAAAAACGGCAAGACCCTTGGGAAGTGATTTAAAGAGGGACCCCCAAAAGTTAGATATAAATCCTAATCCCCACTACCTGTTGAATTGTGACCTGATTTGGAAATAGTGTCTTTGTGTATATAATTAAGATAACATCTCAAGACATTATGAATCCTAACTCCAAAGCTGAGTGTACTTGTAACAGACAGAAAAGAAAACACAGGCTCGGGGAGAATGTCCTGTGCAGACAAAGGCAGAGACTGAACTGATGTGTCTATCTCTAAACCAAGGAAAATGCCAGGGGTTGCGGACAGTAAGCGGAAGCAAGCAGAGAAGTGTGATACATTCTCCCCCAGAGCCTCCAGAAGGACCCACCGCTGCCCACGTAATTGAGTTTGGACTTCTGGCCTTTAGAACTGACAGAATACATTTCCGTTGTTTTAAGCCATCCAGTTTGTGGTATTTTGTTACAGGAGCCTCAGGAAACTAATATACCCATGTAACAACAAAAAGCCCCAATTCTGGATAGCACCTCTAGAACCTAATTGGGCAAAAGTTCACTTTGACAGCATTCAAATGACCATTATTGAGAACCTACGAGGGAAAAACCTCTGTGCCCCATATTGAAAATGTGGCAGTGAATCCAGGACATGAGGGAGGCAGAGGAAGCAATAGTATTTTTGTAGCAACACACAATTATAGAAAAAAATATATATATTTTTCCTACGAGAATTACTAGTGCAGTCACAATTTCAAGCTGCTTCCTCCTTGGCCTCAAATTGAGGACCATTGGAATGGTGGGGCTGGTGGAAAGCCAGAAGGACCGGGCCCTGAATGAACTGGGCCGTAGTGCAGCCCCAGAAAATTGCCATTAACCAAAAATGAAAATGTTAAGGGTTACCAGATCTTGAACAATTTTTAGGAGAGTCTTCAGATCTGAAAATTTGCATAAAATTCCTGATTTTTAAAAGTCTTCAATTGGTTAAAACACTATACAAGCTAGGTAAAAACATGTCTCCATCTCTATACAGCCTGCTGGCTTGCAACTTATGAATTCTGCTCTGTGCCAAATGCTCGGAGGATATTTAGAATTGTGGCATTCTGACGCTGCTGGAGATTTAAGAGGTTGTCTAGAACAAGGAATATGTTTCTGGGCTCACAGGCTCTCAGAGTAGCTGATTAACGATTAAAGCACTTTTCCATAGATAAATGTAAATACACATATGCTCTCAAGGCTTTTTATACTATTTCAGTGAATTGTAGAAGCCATGGAGTTCTCCCATGAAAAGTCTCCTGGAAATAGAGTTTAAGAACCTTTGATTTATATCAATGCTTCTTTTACTTCAGTAAGAATCACACAGAAAGTTTATTAAAGTGGAGACTTCTGAGCCGCACCCTGGGGGATTCTGGCTTGGGGGTCCAGGAACCACATGTTATGCAGTGCACATCCAAATCAAACCTTTTCTTTCATAGGAGAAAGATCTGGTATCAGAAAAATGAGTATGGAAGGTGACTTGAATGCCAGGTTCTAGAACCCAAATTCAGAGCTTACACTATACCACTCCCTGTACTGAGACATGTTTGCTAGACTCTTTTCCACTCCTGATCACTCTGTTATGGTTTACCAACCATAGCACCATTATAGAAAATTGTATGTGTGATATTTAGAGTATTTTTTTTAACTCTAAGGCGAGACAATTGATTCTCAATGCCACCTCTCTGTTTATTGATTTTAATATATAATATAGATATAGATATAGATATATATGGCATAATCTCTGATCCCACAGAATTTACAATCTCATTGAGGAGACAATCTGTGATACCTAAAAAACAGTTATAATCCAAGTAGTATAGTAATTCTATAATACGTAGGTGAGTCAGATCTTTTTTCAAATTCGGTAGAGAATTCTTCACACAGAAAATGGAATATGACCTAGGCCATGAAGTGTATACAAGATCTAGAAAGACAGAGAATATAGGCAAAACACATGAAATAAGAGAAATAATGGTGTATAGGGGTAGAAATGAAAAATTTATTAGCATTCTAGCTTGAGCAGACTAAACTTCAATATCAATTTAAAAACTTAGGTTTTTGAAAAGCATTAAACTTTAAGAGTATTTTTTGGAAAAATCCTCAGAGTGCTTTAAACATATGTTAAATTTGTTTGTTTTCCACTGAGGCCTTACAGTGGCAGAATTTTGAAGTTTAAATTGGTTGACCACATTTTAATATAAAGATATCATGTAAATATCATGAGAGATAAATTTAGCTCTTCCAAAAATCATTTGTTGATACCTGCGATAATGGGACACAAAAGTTGTAGCTGTTTCTCTCTTGGATATTCAGGCAAATTAATTTTCTGTTAAAATATAAATACTATGTCGGTTTTGTAGTGGGCATAAAAATGCAGGATTCAGCGCTCCTGTTTCTGGAGCATAGCTAACTAAGATAGCCCAGATGTTGCACCACTGGACCGCACTGTATTTGTATGGATGCCACTTTTTCCAAGGGTTGTTTCCAGCTAATGACTGAGCATGGCAGGGAGTCCTAAAGCAGAATCGTTCAGAGACAAGTGGAACTCTCTCAGGGGAACTGAGGAATTACCAGTCGGGTTGAGTGAACTTGTTAGGAAACTGCTCTGTAGTCCAAGTCTCTCTACCCAAACTTTCTTCCTTCTGTCCCCCCACAGGGAGGGATTAGATAGCCCTGCCTTCCCCTCATCACTCTCCTTTATCTTTTACAGGCATTTCCCTGAGTCAATCTCTAGTACACCTAATCCTTTCCTGGACCCTGCTTCTCGGAGAACTTAGACTACCAGGACATAGGTTTAGGTGGGTCTGAAACTATACCATATTTAACTGGGGGCTGATAGGTTATTAATACAAATAAAAATCCATGTACTTACTTGTATGGAGAAATAAAAGAAAATCAAGGGAATAATCCACAGAATGAAGAGTGGCAAAGCTCCTGCAATGACCAGAACTGTCACAACAATGTCCAGCGTACAATTTATCCAGGTTCGTAAATGGTAATGAAAGCGTGTGTCAATTATATTTATGTCCTGAAAAATTTGATTATCAGGTCACTTTATTTTTAACTTTTCATGTTTTACAACGAAGAGAAAGAGAAATATATCATTCAATGAAAAAATTTAAAAATGTTTATTCAGATATCACAATCTGTCGATTAAATGAGTCCAACTACATGATCTTTGCTCACCCTGGCATATTTATCCCCTAGAGTCAACTGTAACAATTAAAAGCCTGTTCTAGTAGCCAGAAGCCTATGGTCAAGCAATTTATATCTCCCATTGATGACTACATAGCAATTAATTATATAACTAAAGTCAGACCCTAACAACAACAACACAACATATATATATATATATATATATATATGTGTATATGTGTGTGCGTGTGTGTGCGTATGTGTGTGTGTGTGTGTGTGTGTATATATATATTTAGTAGAGGGGCCAGCTGCAGTGGCTTGTGTCTGTAATCCTAGCACATGGGAGGCCGAAGTGGGTGGATTGCCTGAGCTCATGAGTTCAAGACCATCTTGAGCCAGAGCAAGACCTCGTCTCAAAAAATAGCCAGGTATTGTGGCGGGTGCCTACAGTCCCAGCTACTTGGGAGGCTAAGGCAAGAGAATTGCCTGAGCCTAAGAGTTGGAGGTTGCAGGTTGCTGTGAGCTATGACACCACATCACTTTACTGAGGGCAACAAAATGAGACTCTCTCCAAAAAAAAAAAATTTAGTATTTTTCAAGATTTGGTATTTGGGATTGGGCTACCGTTATTCATTATTCAAAAATTATAAAATACTCGTGGGACATTGTTAACAACTAAAAACATGCCCAGTGGCCTTCTTGGATAGCTGGGTCCTACCTGTATCAGAAAGGCAGAAAAACAAAATAATCATCATTTCCATAATTAGAAACTGAAAGGTGGAGATGGGCAACATAGATGTGAGAGAAGGGTACTGGGAAGGCAATGCATTAATTCATACTCTGTTGTATATAACTTAATCAAATCTATGTTTGTGGTACAAAAAGCATGACCTGAGATAGCTCAAGGAAGATGAAGACACTGAATCTGAACTACGGAGTTCAGGACAAATTGGATGCAAAGTGTAGAGAGGACATTTTATGGATTCTACCTTGCTTTGAGATTTCCCTGTGTATTGTATATACCCCAAAGTATAACAGTATCATGTTCATGAAATGAAATGAAATCTCCTGCCTATTTTTAGAGTATAATGTCCCATATTCCCATTTGTTCATTTGAAATTTTACTTTATAAAACTGATTGTTATTCAGTGGGGTCACAGTAGGAAATGTCCACTGGGAAGGGAGAATACTGGTGACCACATTCTTCTTTAAGTTTTCAAAGAACAATGTGAACTTTGGTATGAGTAAACATGATTTAACACTACATGAGGAATTTATTATTGCAGGAATTTTCATTTATATTTCCCTACATTATTTTCACTTTCCCTTATACACACACCATTTTCTTGACATAGAGATATAAACAAATGAGCATATTTTAAAGTTACAGACCTGCACTAATACAGGAACAACTAGCAATATGTGTAGAGGTGGCTACTCTTAGTTGAAATGTACTGTTAAGTACATAATAAAAAACAGATTTCAAATACTTTATATAGAAACTGTCAGGTGTTTTATATATAGAACAGTTTAGAATAATATTTTGGATATACTTTATTAAGTAAAATATCTTACTATATATAATTAGTTATTTCAACATTTTCCTTTTAACTATTTACTGTGGCTATCAGGTAATTTAAAATTACACATGTGGTCTGCATTACATTTATATTGATTGGGCAGTGCAATTATAAGTGCTTAATAGTAAACACATGAGGGAAACTCCTATCTATAAAGAGAGACATTCTGAAAATCTCCACCCAGATTCCATTCACCATAAATTATTTCTTTAATTTTCTTAGAGGCAGAGTGTTTTCAAGTCCAGATATCTTCATGGTAACTCAAATTTCCATCTCCTTAGCCTACACCAGTGATTCCAAACTCAGTATGTATAAGAATTAGAAGCGTAGACATCAAAGCTCATGTGTTTCTTGCATTTTAAAGTGATTTTTAAATGTTCTTTTAATTATATGTGTAAGATGTGACTCTGTTACACATCAGTTATAAATTTCCCAAGGTCTAGAAATGTATCTAATAATTAAGCCTCTTCTAAATACACGATCTTTTGTACAAGTGAGATCATAAGGTACTAAAGTAAATACAGGTCATCATTTTTAGGAAGGCTATTTAGTAAGTTACATCTTTCCTTACCTTGGTGAAGCGGCTGATGATTTGGCCTATGGGGGTAGTTTCAAAAAACTGTAGTGGGAGGTGCAGCACGTTATTCAGCAGCTGCACATACAGGGCCCGAGAGGCCGTCAGGGACCCTCTGGTGGCTACATAGGCTCCCAAGCAGACAAAGAGACCTAAACACACAATGTTATCAGGGTCATATTAACACCACAAAAAGGATTTTGCTATCAGAAGTTTGCTTGTAATAACAGTTTTTAAAATTGAAAACCCAAATATCATGCCTAAAATGTGTCACTGTGGGCTGAACTACATATACACGTATATGTGCATGAAATAAATAGGCACTCCTGATGGTTTCTTGTTTTTTCTTTTTCCCTATGTTTTTTTTTTAGACAGAGTCTTACTTTGTCATCCTCGGTAGAGTGCCCTGGCAGAAGATCCTAAGGGGAACCCTTGTTGCAAGGGGGAAAGTACAAATAGCAAGAGAGTACATAGCTCACAGCAACCTCAAACTCTTGGGCTCAATCATCCTCTAGCCTCCTGAGTAGCTGGGACTATAGGCCCCAAGCTACTCTTTTTTTTTAAGAGACAGGTTCTCACTTTCACTCAGGTTGGTCTTGAACTACTGAGCTCAAGCAGAGGGGAATCTCCAAAAGCCACAATTAGGAGTCTTTCTTTTATGGCTGTCACGCTAGAGACCTTAATTTCTTCATTAAAGATCAGCTTTCTGATTTTCTTTGTACTACAACTGTGTCGGTGGCTGTACACATTGGTGGTGGAGGAGGGTTTCCTAGGAGGGGCTGACAGACAGTGTTTTACTGACTTACTCTGATCACTCCAGGCATCTCAGTTCTGCTCTCTGTACCTGTGACTGCAGGGTTAGTTTTTCTGCAAAAACTCTCCCGACACCTCCCTCCTCTGTTCCAGCTTCTCCACTCTCTGCCCCAGCTGCAGATTTTCTTCTACTCTTGCTTTTCTACCAGTATAATCACATATATGGAAATCTATTACTTTGAAATGCCCTGAAGCCCTTCCTTTCATATTTATTCACTGTCATTTCAGTGGCGTTTAGTGAGGTAAGTCAAGTAAATGATCCACTCAGCCACCTTAAACGGGAAGCAGCAGGGTACTCCTGAAACATGACGCTGGGGAAGGAAGGTGCCCATGTTTCACACATTAGATAAAAGGAAAGAAGTTCCTAATAGTGAGACACACAACACAACAGACTGGGGATGATCTGAGTGTCCTAGAGATTCAAAAGCAAAGAGCTGAGACCCAAGGAACAAAAATATTTGAGGCTACTTCATTATTGGGAAATGAGGTGAGATCTTTATTCTTGTCATAAAATACAGATATAGTATTTTCTGCTTCAGTACTCAAGGTTTGTTTGAATGTTAGCCTTCTAAATTATTCAAAGCAGGCTTCTGATATTAACATATGAAAGTGCTGTTTATGCTTTAAAGTTCAAAAAAAAGTGAGCTATGACGATGTCAGTGATTCAGCCTGCTCTTGATTGGATTAGATTCCTAAAGACGTAAGTCTATTCTATTAAAAAAAATCTGAAATTATAGATTTTCATTGTTTAGGCTCATTACTTATAGAAGTATAACTTATATTCGCATTTAATAAAGCTTGACAAATATTTAAATTTGTTTTACATGTAGAAAATTAAAAGAGAAGAAGAAAAAAATTGGAGAAAACAAATATTCTAATGACTTCAGGCCACTTCAAAGAAATATCTAATCAGAAAAAAACTTTATGATTAAACTATACATAACCTGTTGCCTTAGTTATAAAATATTCCCCAAATTTATTTACAGTCAGTTTAAATTAAGATTTTATGCAGTAATATGGTAGACACTTGCATGTTTTATACATTATGGAAATGATAATTGCTCACTTAAAATGTTCTTCAAAGGCTATTTAATCTACTTTAAAGTTATAACATAAATTCATTGTGTTGGTATGAATTAAATCTTCATGTGTGGATGTGACTACATAGATAGACAGATAAGTAGATAGACAGATAGATAGATATAGAAATTCATGTATAGAGACGTTTCTCTTGCAGCTAAGAATTTTAGACCTATATATGTACTTTTTTCTCACTGACCTGAACACTGTACGCCAATAAACTTGACTCTAGCTGAATCAAAACCAAGCACATCGTAAAGTCCTGTTATTTCATACATCTGAATAATAGATCAGCCTTACATCTTATTTTAGTTATTAACATCTCTTCCCCCATTCAGTTTGCCAGGGCAATGACAGAGCAAACATAAGTCTGTCCCACAGGTCTAAGGAGAGCTACAGAGCTATAGAATGTTAGAACTCGAGGAAATGAGGCCATTATCCAGTGTCTGCCTTTTGATTTTATAGATAAAGAAGCCTCTGTCTAGACTCTCAGATGAGTTTTAACTTGCCTACTGGAGAAAGTATCAACACTTCTCAGTAGAGGTGTCCATTCTTACTGAATCCCTCATTTCCCTGCTCCATTAGGTAAGGCTTCCTTCTGGTTTCCTTGTTTTTTTCATCATTACTCTTCCAACCTAGACCACAAAATCATGACTGAGGGATGCGCTTTTCTTGCCCTCTAATCAGCAATTCTCGTGTATGTGTTCACCGCAGCATCTTTCCTACCCATCCCTTACATCCAAGTCCACTGCCGCTCTCTGACCATTCGTTTGTTCTTTCATCATTCTCCGGGTATTGACTCAGTGCTCTTCTGCTTCTTACCCCCTGGCTAGCATTGAACTCGATGTTGTGTGTGCAGCACAGACACGGACCAGATCAGACATCTGCCTAGATCAGCTTACCTTCCACCTACGTTCCTGGATATATTGGATTATTTTTTTCCTGCCATCTCCAACTTCTCCCTGGTCTTTCCAGCTATGGTTTTCCTAATAAAAACACGTTTTAACATCACGGCTGATTTATTCTTTGCCTGAAATGCAACTCCAACTCTGCCACTTCTTTCCTCCATTTCCCAAAGATTTGCCTTTCTCTTATCTCCATGGTTAATCATAATTTCTGAACTACTTTCCCACCTTGAGCTCCCCTCTTTCCTTACTAACATGAAGACCACCCAAGTGGCAGCCACACTTTTGCCTAAATCTCTTATTTTCTGCAATCCTGCCTTCACTCACCATCCTACACACCTCTTTACCTTCTTTCCTTTGTGATCTCAATCTGACAAAATTGTATACCTTCTTTTAGTGTCAACCTCCCATGACAAGTATACCTTAGAAATCACAATAAGATCAATAATACCACAATCACGGCCTTCCCCGGCATCCTCACAGGGATTTTCTATCTTTACACCCTTTACAGCACTTACTGCTGTTCATGCAGTTTGACTGTACACCTGACCTCGTCTCACTGGGCTTTAAACTCCTTAACACGCTCAACTCTTGGTCTTCAGATCCCTCACAACCCTCACAAATGTAGAGAGAAGTCAGGACTTTCAAATTAACAGTTTCTGCAACTGTAAAATGGGGAGAATAGCACCTTTCTAAATAATTATTGACCAGATTCAATGAGAGACATATGTGAATTATTTACTGTGAGCCTTGTAGCAGGTAGCTGACACCTACAGATTTTGCTTTGCTCTCTCAAACAAGGTACATTGCAAACATATGCATTTGAAGGATGCCTACATATCTGAAAATTATGGCATAGATATTATTTGAAATAAGATGATACCATCTGCTGTATTTAAATCAATTAGGTCAGATAAAGAAAAGAGAAACAGCTGAGTATTTTTTTTTTTTACCTTGTATTAATCCCAATAATCCGTAGATAGTGAGCTTAGAGCTTCTCGTTTGCTTCCATTCTGTGAACTCATCCATGTGTTTGGCTCCCTGTGCCCAGGCACTAAGCCACAGATTCTGTCCAAAGCCCATCAAATTCTGCCCTAGGTAAGTGGCCACCACCAGCCACACCCAGGGCCAGGTGCAGGCGTGGAGATACTTCAGAATGACTGAGAACTTCACCTGAAGGCAAAATTGATATAATATCAGGTTACTGAGAAATATGAGAATGTGACTTGCCTTTTCTGAGTAAGTTTCATTACATCAGTTAAATAAATAATATGATACAGGACCTCAGAGCTGTATTTTAAAGTCAAGCTAGATTTAAACTCTCTTTGTTCCTAAGCTTTGTGATCTTGGTCAAGTGATTAACTTCTCTGTCAGATTACTCATTTATAAATCTCCATATTTATCAGTAACTATGTGATAAGTACATTTAAGGTGTCAAGTACAGTCCTAAACACTTAAACATGCTCAAAAAATGGTTAGGTACTATCATTAGTTAAAAATACATATGCGTGCTAGATAACATGTAATACTAACTACATATGACCACATTGTCCAACAAACTCTTTAATTGAGTATCATCAAACTATGACATAGCAACCCTCCTCAAGTTCAATAAGAAACATAGTATTTATAGATAATGCGAGGTAATCTTTTAAATTGGAGTAAAGCAAATAAATTAGTTCTTCTGGTGCTTACCCCCTCAGTAGGAATATTTTCTTTTTTCATTGAAAATTGTTTTCCTTGATCCAAAGAAGGCCTGATAAAGTAATAAAATGTTCGCTTTTTAGATTTTAGGCGGATGAATCATTTTTTACAGCGTACACATCGTCAGCCCCTTCCGTGCACCTCCCTCTTCTTCCTCACCTTACTGCGCCCTGGCTTCCCCTGAGGATGACACTGGTCCCACAGTCTTATCCAGGAGAGACTGTTTATTTTCTCTTATCCATTAGTGGCTGTGGCATGTTGTCTGAGTTGTCATTGTTTCTTTTAAATAATTATCTTTCAAACTGGAATCAACCCCCTGGATTGTTGACGCGGCACCCTGTGACGGGATCATAATCCATCCCTTCTCGCCCACCCCTCTGGACATGACGGAAGAGTAGCATTGTGCTTAGTCTTCCCACTTGGTTCCCACCATTCTGGGTGATTTTTTAAATTACGTGGATAAGTGTGTTCAATTCAGTCTCTTTCCAACTTCATGACCTTCATACTTTCAGGGCCCTTCATCTGCATTCTGTTTTGATCAACAACTTTCATGACCTTAAACCACGAATCTTATTATCTAGGACTAACTCACCTCTGAAATTCCAAGTCTAAATATTTTAATCTCTGCCCATAACTTCTATTGCAATTTGGAAACTCAGTTACTCTCCTTACATTTGTTTCTTATTTCATCTAGGTTCTCCGTTCCCAAATACAACTTTCTATCATCTTTCTCCTCTTGCTAGTTATTTATTCATTTAATTAATTTATCCATTTAGACAGAGTCTCACTTAGTCACCCTGGGGTTGAGTGCTGTGGTGTCAGAGCTCGCAGCAACCTCAAATTCTTGGTCTCAAGCGATTCTCTTGCCTCAGATTCCCGAGTAGTAGCTGAAACTATATGCACCCACCACAACATCCAGCTAGTTTTTTTTTTTTTTTTTTTTTTTTTTTAAGAGATGGGGTTTTGCTCTTTCTTAGGCTGGTCTCAAACTCCTGAGCTCAGGCAATCCACCCACTTCGGCCTCCCAAAGTGCTGGGATTACAGTTTTAAGGAACCACGTGTGGCCTCATCTTTCCCCTCTTGGATGATCAGTGATCCTGTTTACCTAGAATTTTCTTGGTTTTAGCATTTATTGTCCCAGATTCTGAGGAATTCCTCAGTCCCAGGCAAACTTATCCCCTCTCTCTTTTCCCTTTATTATTGGTCCATTCACCATCATTATTGTCTCATCCATCCAAACTGGAGTAATATTCTGAACCGTCATCCCCTGTTTTCTTCCCACTAAACCTCTCTGTTAGAACTCATGTGTCAATCTTGGTCACATCTATTCTTGTGGATTGCTACTTCAAATAATCATGCAGACCTCAACATTAGTTTCTTTATAAATTAATATCTTCCTTCCATCTGGGCATTGCTAGTGCTTAGAAATCCTTGCATCACTCTCAGAAGGGGCTCACTTTCTCCTTCATGGAGAAAATAGAAGCGGAACGTCTGTCATCAGACATTGACATCTAGCTGTGTTTCTGCTGGTCTTTTCCAATGCTTTCTTGTAACAAACACAGGTAGTTAAAAATACAGGTTATAAAATTTCTCCTCTAGAAATATTCCTTTTAAACAAATGTCTATTAAATTTCAGACAAGTCTAAGACACAGTGGATTATTCTCTCTCTCTTTTCTAATCTTCACATTCTTCACTTTTACTGGCTCCATCAGCCCATCAGAAAACAACACGCTCTTCTCATTTTACAACTCTTACCTCAGAACAATCCCACTCTCAATTCTATGTCCCTCTTTAGTCCCTATCTCTTGCTTTACTATTAAACCTTCTTTATCTCCTTAAGATTTTTGGCATTTGACTTAACTATTTTCATCAAGAATACTAGCAAACTGCTTTTTCCTTTCTCCATTAGGTATTTTTTTTCTTTTTTGGTTGGGGCTGAGTTTGAACTCACCACCTCTGGCATATGAGGCCTGCGCCCTACCCTTTTGAGCCACAGGTACTGCCCCCCATTTGATACTTTGAAAATCATTTAACTTAATCTCTTCATCCCATTTAACACTTAACGTGTCTAAGGGACTCTTCCTTCCATATCCTCTCACAGCCACACTTTGATACTTTAGCCCATATCTATGCTGCTCCATTAGTTTCTTTTTCGATGTCTTCTGTCTAATGTTCATGTTTCCTCAGGTCCAGGCCTAGTCCTTATTTCCTTTGTATTCTTTTTTTTTGGCCAGGGCTGGGTTTGAACCCGCCACCTCTGGTATATGGGGCCGGTGCCCTACTCCTTCAGCCACAGGCACTGCCCAATTTCCTTTGTATTCTTTACATTCTCCTAAGCAATCTCATCACTCTCATGGTTTCATAAATCTTCTTTGTGGATGATTCTCGAAGCGGTATCTCTAATCCACGCCTTTTCCCTGGGCTCCAAATCCATAGGTCAAATGCTTGCTTGACATCTTCTTAATCTCTCTGCTCATCTGTCTCATACACATCCTGAACTGAGCCAGTTCTCCACCCAGCTCCGCTCTCATTTTCTCAGGCTTCACAAACAGCCGTAACACTTCCTCTGTCTTCATCATGGCACATTTCTAACCAATCAACAAATAATGGTCAAGGCCATCTTCTAAAAATCTCTGCAACAACATTATTTGAGAAGTATTTGGAATATATCAGAAAGTATGAAAAAGAGTAAGAAGAAAGAAGGAGGAGAAGATGAAGGAGAAAACAAGAAGATTTACAACCCCGTGTTTCAGGGACAACCCATGCTAGCACGCCTGGGAATACTGCTACACTATACTGCTATAGTGTGTGGTACAATAACACCAGTGTTGCTCTATAATGGGTCTTTAATTTTCAAAAATAATTAGACACGATGTAATGAGCAACTCACTATGTAATGAGCAAATATTCTTCTGTAACAGTACTGTATTATATAACATTATATCATTTTATCTTAATATGAGTTGCTTAACAAGGTCCATGCTTACACTGATTGCAGTTATTTTTCTACCTTAATTATTACTGTAATGACTATTCTTTTTAAATATCTCTCATTGTCCCTTGTAATAAATTCCCCCATGAAGAGCATGGAGTATGCTAAATTGTACGTCATTTGACATGTCTACTACCAAAGTGACTTTGTGAGTTACTGAACTCAAATTATAAGAATACCTTCATCAGATTATAAGAAGCTCTCATTTCTCTATGGTTCCATTTTATTTATAAGAACAAGAAATGCCTTATTTGGTGAACCTGGTGGTGCTTCTCTCCCTGTCTCTGGCACTAGCGTCAAGAAACATTCTATGAGAGGTTGCAATGCATGTCCTTTGTAGAACCGGCTTTAGCATCAGGGAAAGATATACTGTTTAACAGACACCTTCATTGGAATGGCTCCTGGTAGATGGCTTGGGTTAATTACTGTCATCATCCTTCCAGCCCTTGGCATGGCTTGTGTTTGGATAAGCAAATTTAGCATTGGTATCAAGCCAAAAAATTAATTCTTAATGTAGCTGGACATAAAATGCTGTGAAATCCAACTGTTAAAAGGGAATTAGAGCTTTCTAATGAGACATAACTAACAAAAAAGACCAATAATTTTTTGGACACTGTACAGAAAGGTACTGCTTTTTCAAATTACAGTGTTATTTATTCTTTTTTCACAAAAACACTCCATTTGGTTCTGGGCACCTTGTTGTCAATAACAGGTTTTATCTGAGTCCCTTAAAAGAGGAAATTATGTTATGCTAGTAGAGAAGTTTTGAAAATGAATCTTGTCCTTCAGAAACTCTCAGGGAGATTGGCATAATACTAATCTCCATATTTTTGTATAAAAGATAGAAAAGTAACACATCACAACTATTATCTCTGAGCTGAGCACATATCACATGTGTATGGGAGGATTAAATTAAGAAAGTCTGGCACGAGAGCCATAAGGGGGCAGTCTAGGTACTACAATAACATTTCCAGTTTATTCAGGGAAGATAGTACTCAAGATTTAAGAAAGTAACTAAATAGCATAATATAGATTTAGACAAAAATATAGAAACAGTTCAAAATAGTTCAGTCCTTGTTAGAATACTAATGTCATTAACCTAATTCTTAAATTCCAAAGAAAGGAAATTTCAGAAATTATTTTATCCAATTCCCTTCTTTTTCATCTCGTTCCCCATTAGCAGTTAGCCAGTTTTTCTCATGAATTTATCCAATAGGAAGACTTGTTGTATTCCATACCACTACGTCTAATTGTGAAGAGACTCTAAGCGCTGCAAATCTCTGGCCTGCTTCTATCTTCCTATCTTGCATCTATTGTAATTCTACACTAATTGGAAATAAGTGAGTAATTCTAAGAAAGAGAAAATTAGATCAAAAAGTCAGGAAGATTCTCTTCATGGATTTTTCCCAAATAGGAAAGCAGATTTAAAAAAAAAGAAAGTGAGAATAGAAGATGGCATAGAAAGTAATAAACTTCACTAGCCACGTCTTGGGAAAAATTAAAAAACATTGCTCAAATATAAAATTGAAAAATTATTTATTAACTTATTTGAAATTGCTTATCTAAAAACACAAGAAAAGTTCATCATGGATGGATTTATAGACTGTTGATAAGGTTAGAACCAATTATTGTTTTTATCACACTCCTTAAAAAACAAACTTTCTTCTGGGTTATGTTGATAAGAACATGATATTGAAAGTGCCTCCCAGTGTATTCTTCATAGAAGAAGCAAGTTTCAGAATTCTGGTTCCAGTCTGAGCCTCTAACACTTAGAAATTTTTAGAATACAAGTGTGCAAACACATCTTTATAGAGGCTGGTGTTCTTTTTTCAAGGAGAAAAGGGGAGATTCGTTCCCCCAAAGTGGTTCACAGATAGTTTAAGGGCTTCAATTTAGATGATCAACAGTGATGAACATCCCAGTACTCAAAATTGTCATGTCCAAAGCCTATTTTCACATTATTATCTGTAGAATGTATGAAAGCTGTGGCATGGGGATATTTTTGGCACAAAAACAATCAGATTAGATTTCTGCTACCAGAATTTGGCTAGCAATAGCTGAGAGTTTAGTGAGCATATGTTTCCAAAACTAAGCCTCATTCATCTCATTTATAATTTTAGACATATCCATTTGACTTGTAGTTCAGAACAGGAAACCACTAAGTACATTTATATTCATTATAATGTATGTGTCTTTTTTAGAGAATACATATTAAATGCTTGAAAACAATTACTTAGTCCCTAACCCCAGGAAGCTTGCTGTTATATTATACTAATACTCACCTGTCTTTTTGCCCCAGGATTTGGTCCTTCAGCATAGTTCTGGAGTTGATCACACTGACTTGTTTTACAGCATGAGCTGGAGAAGAAGATGGTGAGTGTTTTTATATGCATATAATCAAACAATTCAGAAAGTAGAGAAAAATGATGAAATATTACACAAATTGAAAGTATTTTTGAATTCTGGATCTCTAGGTAGTTTGGGAGCACTTTTTCCACTATTTCCACTTAACCTAAAATATGTTGAAATGTCTTAGTAAAACTATGAAGCCATAATGAAAAGCCTTGTAATTTTTTTTATATATTAGAAGGATAATAACTTATTTGGGATCTTCCATAGAAGAGTTAACTATTACCCAAGGGAACACAACTCTAGCCTTTAAAAGAAATACGTAATTTCACCAAGCCTTATATACAAATGTGATTGTTGTGAAAATTCATAAGGAAACACAATGGCAAATTCCTCAAATTTGTCTTCTTAGAAATGTCATTAACATTAGCTTCTTTAGTGGCAGGCACTGTTCTAATTCTTTCAATTTTCAAGAACTACCCCTATGAGAAAGGTACTACAGTTATTCTTACCCTTATCTCAGAGATATAAAGATTGAGGCACTGAGAGCTCAAGCACGTCACACAAACCAAGGTCACTAACCTAGACCTAGTAGAGACTGAGGTTCAAGTAATTGTTAGTGAATTTGACGGCAAACACCTCAGAGCTAGAAGATTTTTGTCTTTTTTTTAAAACAATATAATAAACTCCTTGAATTTCAGGTGTTAGATTTCCAAAAGGGAAGGAATTGGATTTGAAGGGTTGGGCACCCCGTGGCCTTAAAACCACACACAGCCTCCTAGGTCCTTAAGTGCAGCCTTTTGGCAGCATCCACCTTTTACAGAACAAATCTTTTTGTTAAAAGGGCGAAGCAGAGAAAGATGGAGCTTTTCTTATCTGCTTTGGTGCTTAGAAAAGAACAATCGTATTATGATTTAAAGAGTACTTACATATGAATTATATAAATAGAGCCCATAAGAGAGTCAATACGACAAAGGGAAGGGGGAAAGTCTCCTACATCTTGCAGGGAAAAAATGTAGAGAGGATAAGTGACTTTCCTGTAATCTGGAATCTACAAAAGAGAGATGGGGTAGGTGGCAGTCAGGTCAGGTGGAACATGTGAAGGGGAAAAGTGCAAGCAAGTAAAAAGAGTAAAGGGGGCCCCAGCCCTGTCTTTTCACATTAAGTCAATATTCTTTCAATGTATAATACTTGTTCCCACATTTAGTACAATGTTTGAGAGCTAAGTTGTTCTCCACCATGAGTCAGGCAGCATGGATCCAAATTCCGATGCTTACCTTGAGCAAGATACTTCATATTGTCTGTCTTAACTTGAGCAAGATAGTTCATATTATTGTAAAATCAGGAAGTTTAGGAAGAATTAAGTAAATACAAAACTCATGAATGTAGTTACTACACAAGACATACTAGCTATCATCACTGTTGATAGTGTGCATAAGAATTAGCTTAGATTAAATCTTCAAGTATGTAAAATTTATCTTTAGTTTTTTTACAGCTTTCTAAACCCCTTTCTCACCCCTAATTTATTATCTTATGTAACACTCCCATAAAGTAAGACTTGAACATTTTTCAGGCTAGATGGAATATTAGAGATCTACTGTAATCTACTATTTAGATCTATCTAAACTTAAATGACACTATAAAAAGTACTTTGGGCTGCTGACTCTCAGTTACCTGTTATCAACTTCAGCAATGAGAACACTTGGGAAAGAGGAAAGAGTGGCTGAGTCATAAGCAGTTTGGGGGGCAAAGTAGAGGAAATAACCTGCGTTGTCCATTTCTATGTTTGCCACTAGCAAAAACTGAGCTAGGTCATGCCCTGTATTTCATAAATGGGGACGAATCAAAGAAGTCATTTCTGTGAAGGCTGAAATAGTGATTACTTGTGAAAACTAGCTTCCAGGCCCCCTGACAATTAGTCCCCTGTTTTTTCCACAATGTTATGCTGACTTTTACTATAATCCCCCCTTATCTGAGATTCTGCTTCCCAAAGTTTCAGGTACCTGCAGTTAACCTTGGTCCTAAAATATTAAAGAGAAAATTCCAGAAAAAATAATTCATAAGTTTTAAATTGTGCACTAGTTTGAGCAGTGAGAGAAATCTTGTACCATTCAGCTCTGGCCTGCCTGGGACATGAATAATCTTTTGTCCAGTGCATCCCCATTTCAGATGTTTCCACCCCTTAGTTACTTTGGAGCCCTCTAGGTGATCAGATCCACTGTTGTGATATCATGGTACTTATGTTGAAGTTACCCTTATTTTACTTCATAGTGGCCTCAGAATGCAAGAATAGTGATGTTAGCCTATCATTATAATTATTCAATTTCATTACTAGTTATTATTGTTAATCTCTTACTGTGTGTCGTTTATAATTTAAACTTTATCATAGGTATATATGTATAGGAAACAAATATAGCACATTTATAATTTGGTGCTATCTGTGGTTTTATACATCCACAAAGGGTTCTGGAACATCATATACCCCTCAGTAAGGGTTGGAGGAATTACTGCACTCCCATTGTACTGTCACATAAGTTAACAAGAATATTTAATGGCAGGATTTTGTATATGTGAAGAAATTTTTAAATAGACTCAACAGCAAATAAAACATGTATTATAAAGTAAATTACAGATTATACCATGCTTTTACAATGGGAAACAGCACCTCTCCTATCTCACTCCCAGCAGGTAATTCCTTTCCCCTAAATCTTAGCAAAAATGCCCTCAAACAGAATTTAATTTTGTTCTATTACTTATGCAAATAAGAAAAAGAAATTCCCCACAGGGACAGGCTTGCACCTAACATCTGTGGAACCAAGGCAACAGTACAATATCTATTAACGTCAACATGCTGTATTTCTAATTATTTTTAAAAGTCATAGCTGGAACTAACAGACTCTTAAATAAGTTCTATTGCTTACTCTGACAAATATGGCTTCGCAACCAGCTGGAAAACAAGGTTAGAGGAGAATGTTTGGATTCCTGAGGCTTCCTCTGGGCTCATGGAGCCCTTAGTGAGGTGGTGCCAATCAAGGCCTGAGAACCCCTTCTCTCCCACCCCAGCCCCATCCTGCACCGTGACAGGCTCTGCACATGTGTGAACACCTCATCACACACATCCATGGTTTGTCCAACACCCACCTTGGGAGAGTAGACCTGAGAATTTGCAGAGGTTAAGAAGCAATGGTGGATACTGTGGGTGGGGAGGGCAAACCCCTTGGCCTCTTAGCCAGAGACCCAGGCAGAGAAGGCCAGACTGGAGACTCTCTGAAGTATGGAGTATAGGACCAGGTTAGGCTGGCCCAGATCTAAAGAAGTGCAAGAACGTTACACCAAATCTTACCCGACTTAATGCTATTGTTACCAGGGTGTTTTATATCACCAAATCCTATGCTTCTTTTCCACTACATGGTGGCTAGAGCAATTACACTATAGGGTGGTGGTTCCTGTGGCTCAAAGGAGTAGGGCACTGGCCCCATATACTGGAGGTGGTGGGTTCAAACCCAGTCCCAGCCAAAAACTGCAAAAAATAAAAATTAAAATAAAAATTAAAATTAATAAAAAAAGAAATTACACTATATTGGGTTAACCTTTTACAGATCTCTATCATCTATCATCTAGCTGGTGTTTGTTGTGAGTAAAGTAATTTTGTGGGGCTGATTTTTAAAGTCCTATACGTTTTTTGAATCCAGTTTTCAAAACTTCAAAATCCCAGAAATAATTTAGTTTCAAAAACATATTTTATTTTATATAAATATGTTTTATATATTTGTTTTATATAAATATAAAAGTAGATATAAATTTTTATCTACTTTTCCATCTTCCAGAATTTTAAAAGACAGAAATACTGAAGTCATTAGAAAAAAATTCAAATTCAACATTTTTCTAATTCTGGCATATTTCTGATGGTAACTTAGAAACATCTTTTATTGTCAGCCCAACTTCAAAAATATTCTTCCTTTTGATCTGTTACAGTAGAGGGCATGTGTAGATAAGAAGTTACATAAACATAAGAAAGGGGGGATTTGTTTCTCAAACAGGGACTTAAACGATAGTAAATTCTACAACTTTCAAAAGATAAAATGCTCATATTTTATGGTAAAACTTACATGCCGCCTGTTTTGGGAGCTATATTTTTCCATAAGAATGTAATCTGTATTTCACATTTCCTTTAAAATAAATGGCCAAGAAAAGGAGACATTGGTTCATAGGAAGCCAAGGTGGGTGGATTCCCTCCCCTGAGCTCAGAGGTTTGAGACCAGCCTGAGTCAGAGTGAGATACTATCTCTACCAAAAATAAATAAATAAATAAATAAAACTAAAAAAGCCAGACATTGTGGCAGGTGCCTATAGTCCCAGCTACTTTGGAGGCTGAGGCAAGAGAATAATTTAAGCCCAAGAGTTGGAGGTTACTGTGAGCTATGATGCCCTAGCACTCCACTGGGGGCCACAAAGTGAGACTCTGTTTCTTTTTTTTTTGGCCAGGGCCGGGTTTGAACCTGCCACTTCTGGTATGTGGGACCAGTGCCCTACTCCTTGAGCCACAGGTGCCGCCCAGTGACTCTGTTTCAATAAAATAAATAAATAAAAAAAGAAAAAGAAAAAGAAAATTAAAAACTAAATCTGTTTCAATAAAATAAATAAATAAACAAAAAAAAAAAGAAAAAGAAAATTAAAAACTAAATCATCCTGTTAACTGCCGAAGAGACACACTTCTATATTCACCTGTTTCACAAACATTTACTGAGCGCCTGTTATGGTTCTAGGAGGAGGCTTCGTAAGTGCTCGAGATAGAGACAATGGCAGCGTCCAAGCTCTGTCTCGTCCTAGGAGACACTCCTAGATATCTCTTTCCTACATGGGAAGCACAAATTATTATTAACAATTAACCTGTGTGAGAGGGCAAGGAATCATTTCCAAAGTTGCTAGTCCCGGAGAAAAGAGGAGGTGCTTCCTTTACTAGGAACGGTTACTGTCACCTGAGGATGCATTGGGTATTTTTGGAGGTATCTACAAATAGAATGTTTATAAGAAAGGAGTGGCAATAAGGAATAAAAAACAGTAGTAGACAACTAATGTGTGTGGCCTTAGGTTCCAGAAAGAAACAGATCACCAAAATGAGTTTGTTCTTAGGATGTCCTGGCATTGAAGTAATCAGTTGCACTGAGCTTGGTATAGACTAATTTCACATTCTTATGACCTTCCCACCCAGGTATGGTATAAAGTAAGTTACCAGTTCCTGTAGAAAATACTGAGACATAGATCTACGTTTCTCCTTTTACCCTGACATTATGAAATGGTTCACTGGTTTTAGAGTAAATTCACAAAGTGTTCTGGAAAGGTGTGAGAAAATGCTGTGATGTAGTAGTGTTCTACCTGAGAGGCCTCTCTCTCTGTGAAGAGAGGATGGCGCAGCATCCAACTCTCAGAGCAGAAAAGGAACAATCTCTGTGGAATACTAAGATAATACTGGGTTTTAAACATCCTTGTGTCCTACAGATCAGGTAAAGTCAAAACCATTTTATTTATTTGAAAATGTCTATGAATCTTAATTTAAACTTCAAGAACTATGATAATAAAAATTAATAAATAAAACCAATTGTTAATTATTTTAATTTGGGCACTTACTTTCCCCTTTGCCTTTTCCCCAGGCATGTTTTCCTGTTTCTTTTCTTCAACTCACTCTATGTAACTTAGATGTTTAAAATAGTTATTGTAATATTTACTGCTCATGGATTTATGTTCCAGCTTCTTCATTTAAAAGTAGGTAGAATGTTTAGATCCATTATATTCTAGGCCTAGAATAGAGTTTAAAAATCATCTGCTCTCTTATTTCATAGATGAAGAAACATATCTGCGGCATTTGAAACTTAAAAAAAAATCATAAATGAGCTAGATTTTTAGCTGATGCCCTGCAATGCAATTGTTTCTTTCCTGTAGAAAGGTAGATACCCAGCCTTGGCTTAAGCAGGATGAATGAGAATTTATAGCAAGAGGTAAGGCAGTTAGAGGACTTCCAAAATGGGTAGGCATAATGTATCCAGGTTTGTTTTTCTTTGTGTCCTTACTTTTTTCATGTTCACGGAAGACCTGAAGCAAATTAGTGAGGCTTTTGGTCTTAGAGAGCAGCTCCTGGTAGGTTCCCATTTGCGCAATCCTCCCATTCTCCATTACAACAATAAGATCCGTTTGTGGCAGAAGTGTGAGGTTGTTTGTCACTAAAATGCGAGTCTGTAAAAGAAAGTGTTTTATTCTGTAGGTTACAAAAGATGACACAAATAATCCGTTGTAAAGAAAGTTGCAATCCTTTTTTTTAAATCTTTACTCTTTGTGTAATGCTGGGCACGTGCCAGTGTAAGGCAGCATCTGTATGTTTCACAAAGAATGACAAATGTCCTGAGGGTAGAGGAAAAAACAGTTTGTAAATGTGATTGTAAACCTGGCTTCAGGTATTTGTCATTCATTAGAAATGAGTTAATTTTGTAGTAAATTCAAGATAGGTCCACCTAATTCTTGCTTATTTTTTAGAATTATAGGGTTCCATTACAAAAGTGTTTGATCCAAGTTGTAATTTATAATCTTTATTTTTAACTCATTCATATTATTTTATAAATGCAATAGACATTTGTAATCTTAGATTCATCTCAATAAGTGAAGACAAGTGGATATTGTTTACCGAGGCATATATTTTATAACTGTATACACTAATTTTTTCCAGAGGGCTCAGTATGGGTAAATTCATAAACATAAAGGAGTGTGGCTTCTTTGTCAGACTATTAAAAAATCTCTGCTGTTCTTAAGTTGAGCAGCCAATATCAAGTCAATTTGTTCCCTAATTCCTTCAAATATAAAAGAGGAATAATGATAATACTTAGCTCAGAGATTTGCTGTAAGACCTAAAGGAACTACTTTAACATATTGACTATGGCATGTGCTCAGTAAATATTAATTCCTATCTTCATGACCCCTTTGTAAAGCAGTTGAACCCTTATTACTGCTATATGAACAATAGCAAATTTTAAGTAATCAATAAGATGATTCTACTTTTTTAGAAAGCAGTGTGCCTCGAATATAATTTTCAAAAAGATCAGCTAAATTATAAACAACTCGTTATGACACATAAGTCATCCGAGGGTATGGTATCAGTCAATGAGGTAATAATCATATAAATTTTAACCGGAGTAAACTTATAGGTAAAACTTTACAAAATATTCATAGAAAATTTTCTGTAAATAAGCAATATCAGCATCCCATTTTTAATGTGAAATTTGACTACTTAGCTTAAACAAATGAAAACAATGGACTTTTAGGTACAATGCTAGGCAGATTGTCCCTCCCTCCCCCGACCCTCCAACAAAGCAAAAATGATACTTTGGCTACCTTGTCTCTCAAAAGGCCTAAGGACCCTATTACTTTTTCAAAAAGCTGCTTTCCAACATGAACGTCCACGGCAGATAAGGGATCGTCCAGGAGGTAGATGTCAGCCCCACTGTAGACAGCTCTGGCCAGACTGACTCGATGCTTCTGGCCCCCACTTAGAGTCACACCCTGAAAATGGAACAGGAGAAAAACAAGACAGGTGGAGAGTAAGGAGCGTTTGTAAACATCAAAGCACAGGTGGTGGTTCCATTCAAATGCTACCCACACTTCATAGCAGGCAGAGAAAACAACCTGAAATGAATGCTCACACTTCTCTTTATTCATGATTTCCTGGACCTACTGCCTTTCCACCTCGTAGCACTATTAACTTGTACAGATTAGCAGATATATCTGCTTTTTCTTAACTGCTTCCTGTCAAAACAAGATGCTAACAATTAAGGAGAAAAGAATTTCCAAATCCCAAATTCTGAAAAGTCATGCCTGTGGAATATGAAACAAGAATTTTGGCTGCCAACCATACACTGACACTGACACTTGTGATTATTTTTAAATTGACACATAGGAAATTGAGAATAATAGCTAAATTACCGAAGCAGTAATAAACATGTCTTATCTTCTCCTGTAGAAAGGCTAGTACAAGTCTTGTTGGCAAAAGTACAGCACTAAGAAGCAAGAATAGGGAATATTCATCACTCCATGTGGGAATTAAAGTTGATATGTACAGCCATGTATGGAGAATTATGGGTCCAGGCTCAATGTGCTTGATTTATTTTTTATTTAATGTTTACAGATCTGGCTTAAAAGCTCTCAGTGCAGCACAGAACTTAGCCAATGACCTACAATTGTAAAATACCATTGCTTCTTTGTGCTTTTCATCCTCTTCCTACTCAACAAACATCTCCTGAGTATGACTATATTCCTGGTGCTATACTAGTACTTGGGATTCAAAGATAAGTGAGGCAAAGTCTATGTCATGAGGAGGTCCCAGTGTACAGTTTAGCAAAGGAGAGAGGCATGGATATGTTTGTGTGTGATATGTATACAAATCAATAAAGAAATGGGATGTGTGTGTGTGTGTGATCATAATAGCATCCAACTCATAGGTTTGTTGAGAGCATTCAATAAGATGAGGATAAAAATATTTAGGAAAATTCTCAAACCCAGAATGGGCACTATCAACATTAGCTATTATGACCCAATTATTCTTCTCTCCAATCCATTCTCTGACTTATCATCATTATTCTGGTAATTACATCATTATCTTGCTTCGGTACCCATATATCTCTCTTTTTATCACTTATGAGCAATAGCAAATTTCTTAGCAGGAATCTAAGATACTTACGTTTTGACGTTGTTAACTCATCTTTTCTACCACTGTCCTAATTCTCTCAGGTGACTGTGGTTTGCCAGCGAGGCTCACCTGTCATACTTCCCTTTCATACTGGGCAGAGGCTGTTTGTTCACTTTGCTTGGTAGACCACATCCTTCCTTTTTAACTTAAGGGCTAGTCACACTAAAAAGTTCTCTCCAAGAGCAACCTTTCCCTCAATGTCCCAAGTGAAGTGACCATTCTACTGGTCTTGTGGTGCTTTGTTTATTCCTCCATGGATATTGGCTAGATTTCGCATAGCCACGTCAGTCTCTCTTACTAGCCTCTGAGCTCCTACCTGGGTCATCGTTGTATTCCCAGTACCTAGTGTTTGACTCCAGGTGACTGAAGAATATTGGTAAAGATAATTGATTAACATCATTGACAAAGGTCCACTAGACTACAAAGCTGCTAAAGGCAGGGTAATAGCTCTCTTGGTCACCACTGACTGTGTAGCCCATAGCAGAACAAAGGCATGTAAGAATGCCAGAGGAAAAGATGAGTACAAGTGAGGAAAACTTTAAATTCATTGTCTTTTCTGCGTCATAAATAGCTGTAAACAGATTTCCTCTTTGAAACATTCAATTACATGTTTAAAATTCAGGGTCAAATTAAGATAAATGTAATTATTAAATGAAGAATGTACTAATGGCAATGGCACTTAATGCCTATATTGCATGGTATATCTCTACTTCCCAGTTTAGATTTCATACCCCCTAAAATTCCTTATAGTTAAATCTAATAAAATCAGATATTTCATATTTTTAGATATTGGATTTACTGGCATCTTATTCAATCTATATTAACAAGTGAAGGAGAAGTCATAATTCCGCCATTTAGCTAAGGCGCCATTTTGTTTTGGGACAGTGAAGGTGTTAGGAAAAAGACCCGGGCTAAGAAAAATCTATACAATACCACTGAGAAAATAAATATGCAAAGTAAGAGACTATTAAGGAAGTAGGTTGGGTTACCAGGTAAATTCTGACTCACTTTAGATTTGTATACATTTCTGCTTTCTATGATTTTGTTATATGATATGAATTATTTGTCAGTTTATAGAATGAGGCTATGTTATAACACAAAGTCGGGGCAAACTGCCTATCAGTTTTACACTCACTCTCCTTTCAGGATTGCACCTAAGGAAGGACCATTCATCTTCACAGCACACCGGAATCTTAGGCAGAGGCTGCTTGGTACTCATGTTTAATTGATGGAGATTTTAGTCACAAGTTGGGAATTATCTCTGGGGGTTCCTACTTCAGCTCAGGATATCCTCTTATTATTATTTTTTTAAATCCATAACACTGAGCAGAGGAATACCTATTCATTAACTCAATGAAAATAAAATGGAACGAAGAGAGAGATGATTTGGAAGCAGGTCCTTCTTAAGCAGGAAGGAGAAGCGTGACATGGGCACATTAATCACAGAATCATCTCAAAGTCTTCTTAGCATCTAGTCGTGGGGCCACCACTAAAGCCTGGTGTTCTTTTGCTCCTGTTCCAGCCTTGACTTTGTGTGCAAGAGATGCAGGAGCAAACAAATCTATTATTCACAGTTGGGAGAGTGAATAGCATCGTGCCAGCAAGCAAACAGAAATGGTGATGACCTAATGGCTGGGCTTGCATTCCCCCACATGAATACTGACAACAGAATTTCTTACTGATTTTTAATCCGTTTTCCAAATAGTCTGTTATATAAAATTATTTGTCTTTAATACTATATCTCTTTCATAAGGATAGTGTAGCAAAGTTGTACAGCTCCTTGAGACCTGAGTAAAAAGACTAGAAACATTTGATGAGAGCAGCTGAATGGAATTTCATTCCTGCACATGATAAATTGTATTCTCCTTACTCTTTCTCCAATCTCAGTTTGATCTCCATTTGGTAACTGCTCCAAATCGGGAAGGAGAGCACAGGCTTCCAACACTCGCTCATAAAACTGCTTCTGCATGATGGAGCCAAAGAGAATGTTTTCTTGCAAACTGCAATTCTGAATCCAGGCCTGCTGAGAAACATAAGCCACAGAGCCCTAAAAGAGAAAGAGTAAGAGAAAGAAAAATTCTTAACGAGAGAAAAGGAGAAGCTGCGCGTGCACTCACTGTACTGAAGGCACGTGTTTAGTCTCTGGATTTGCCTTCTTTAGTATTGAAATAGAATTTTTAATTAAAAAACTCTAGATCTCTTTGTGAGCCTGGATTGTTTTTTCATATGTTGAACCAAAACATATTGAAATCGACTGAATTCAAAAGTGGACAAAAATGAAAACAAAAGAAGTATAGATCATGATATACTATTCAAATCTTAGAAACGATTATACGAGTTTCCTTCAAATAAGTGAATTTGTGCTTTTTATTTACTTTCACTATAGCATCTATCAGATTTATCTAAGTCTGGCAGAGTTCTCTGGAAGCAGGTGCTGAGTGTGTCAGTTTACTGGGGCTGCAATAACCTTTGGGTGGGTGGCAAAAATAGAAGAAATTTATTTTCTTATAATTCTGAAGTCTGAAATGAGGGCATCAGCAGGGCTGATTTTGTCTGAGGCCTGTCTTCTTGGCTTGTAGATGTCTGTCAGCTCCTCGTGCTTCACGTGGTTTCCCTCTGTGTGCTCTTCTGTGTCCTAATTTCCTTTTCTCTTAAAAACACCATATAGGGCTGGGCCCTATTCTCATGAGCTTATTTTAACTTAACTCTATAAAGACCTTATCTTCAAATACAGTTACAGTCTGAGGTACTGGGGATTAGAACTTAATATATAAAATTTGAGGGGACACAATTCAGTCTATAGCATTGAGACAGAGTTTGGGGTGCAGGTTATTTATTGGGGATCAATAAAGGAAAGGAGGAAGGAAGTTTAGGTAGAAGGAAGAGTAATACTGTGATGCAGACCCAACCAAGCTTGGCCATCCCTCCAGAGAGCCATGGAAGAATATCACCCATCAGAATTGTCTTGTGTTAGGCTCAACAAAAGTGGGACCCCGGCTGTTTTCTTCAACCAAAGCCAATCTTGAAGAAGGTGACTTGCTGGTGATTGTACTGCTATAGTTGGGTGGCAAGTCCTTAAAAGAAGGGGGATCTGGGTGGCATGTCCTGTATCCTCTATATTAATCACTGTTCTCAAATTCATTGTTTGATAATTTTCTGGCTTGAAATGATTACCCAATCTATGACAGTCAGCTGCATAAACTATCCTCTTAACTAACCCTTCTTTTCCTGAGAAGAACCTATGGTACTTTAACCAGAGCCCTACTTCTCCATATGCCCCATAGACTACACCCAAATATTGAATGAGGAGGATGTTCCCTACTGCACACTGTGTAACAATACCAGACATTTAAAGTACTTCCTGATGTAGGCATGTATGTAAGTATTATTAGCCCTTTGATTTGAATTCTTTAAAGATCAAAGATTAACTTTTCATTCTTCTTTGTAGAGTATGTAAGACACAGAATGGCTTCTGATCAAAACCAATATAATTCTGATCTGACCTGGTCTTGAACACAAAAGTAATTGCTCTTGAATTGCCTTGTGAAGTGAAGGCATATTAAATCAGCCCATAGATGATACATATTTTGAATACTAGCTACACATTAAGCAAGTTAAGCAGAACAGAGAATGAACACAGGCAGAAAGACTGAAGAATATGATATACAATGTAAATGATACACAACATAAAGCAGAAACTAAATACTGCCTTGAGAGTGATAGCCTTGTATTGGTATTATCTGAGTTGAAAAAAAGCTGATCAATATTCACAGACATGTATATGTTTCTTTTGTTATTGTTATTACAATTATTATTTGCCTCTCGCATGCCAGTGAAAATATGTTTTTGTTGCATTCTTAACAATGAAATGACAATAGAAGTGTTGCTAGTTCAAAAATGCTCTCCAAATCTATGCTGTCCTATCACAGATCACTGATTACTGAACACTCTTTACAACTAGTGTCTAGTCTGAGCCCTTGATATTAAGAGCAAGAGGTCCTTAGAGAAAGCTTAGAGAAAATTGGCAGTTATAGAATGTAAACACTTACACTCTATAAACTATAGCTCAAAAAATGATCATCTGAAACATTGAAAAACAGGAAGATGTGCACACAAACACTTAAAAAACTCTAAATGTTAAGTTGGTCGTGCCGTTATAATGATGACATAACTAGGGATAACCAGGAAGATGTAATCTCTGGATCAAATATATTTGGGAAAACAAATAAAGTGTGATACTTCAAATCCTGCCACTGATCTAGCAAAACCTTTCCTGAAGGTCAAAGTGATAGAGACAGTTAATGTCTTCTGACTTATACAGCTATAATTTTAACACAAAGAAAGGGTGTTCTATCTGTTTTTTGCCATTAGCAATGAAATTGTTGTGGTTCCTTTTATTCCTATGAACACTTTCTTAGTCATAAACAGTCAAAGATATAAAAAATGATCCCTAAATCTTACCATGAGAGCCTCAGCAGTCAGAATGAAGATGATGATAAACATGAATATTCATAGGCAGCCAGCAGACGCGCTGCCAGGAACTAGGCGAGGTCTTTGCACATTATCTTACTCAATCCTCACCCCAGCCTTTTCAGCTCATCACCATTATTAAGGCATCAAGGGATATCTAGAACTGACATCATTTTTATCTTTACAGATTCCTAATTATTTTTCAAGATCAAATAAAAGGCTATCTCCTTTCTGAATCATTTTCTGACTACTCAAAGCAAAATCTGTATTTTATACTTGAATTTTTTATGCATGATTTAAACATTTCTCACAATTGATCTTGATATTCTTTCATTCGATTATGAAAGGAGAGGAGCATATTTAACGCGTGTTTGTTTTTCTTTGGCTAAATATTAGGCACATAGTAAGTGTTCGATAATTGCTTGGTGAAAGTAGCTGAAAAAATTAAGTGAAAATAAAAAAAATGCTATGACGCTTATTAGGTTTTTAAAGGATACTCGCTGGTCTAGGGAAAGTTACAGTCATCTTCAGTGTTAGAGAAAGGGCTGATTGCAATCATTATGAATACCATAAAGATACAAAGATGGCATATTTTAGGTTAAAAAGTAGTGGTTTTCATTAAGTGATTAAGTGTAATCTCATCGGAAAAAGTTATAGGAATCATATACGTGTATTTGATCCTAAACTAGGTATCAGTAATGCTGAAAAAAAGTCACAAAAGGATTGGGATCCGGAAAGATATAAGGATATGAGGAAAAATACATCCTAAGAAAAGAAGAAGGAAGTTAGAGTTGATTTTTCCCAAAAAGTTGGGTAAGAGAAACTGTTGCACCTACTTAGAGCTTCTTAACTTTGTCACTAGTGAGGAGGATGGATTGGGCTCTAAGGAAAAACTCACTGGGTAGCCTAGTGGTTCAAAAAGGAAGCATGTTTGGATTATGAACTTGTTGAACTTTTATTCTTATTAATATTTAAAAATAGGACAATTAACCAACAGTAGACTTCCCCCACAGTCCAAAGGCTGATTCTTAAATATAAGTCATTAATACTATTATTTTTCTGAGGTTTTTTGAAGGTCAAAGATCCTACCTGTGAGCAGTTCTGAGACTTCTTAGAAATGAAATGGCTGTAATTAACGAGGGAACCTTGCTGAATGACAGTTGGAAACCCAATGAAATTACAATATAAATCACATTTATTTCTCTATAATTGGTTGCAATTCAGTTAATAGCATCAAACAAGTACCATAAGCATTCATAAATGATTTGCCGAAGCATTTGGCAGACAGAATTCTAATCCATCTGGAGTTAATCGATTCTATGGAATGGAAATGTTTGTTACAAACTAGAAATGCCCACTAAATTCTTGCATCTTCAGTTTAATTTGATCCATTCTTATTGGCAGGAATGATGAGCGTCTATAGCCACTTACAGTAGGAAATCTTGAAGGAACATATTGTCGTTTTTACCTGTCTTTGGGCAACTCCTGTAAGCTTCTCCATTTCTCCCAGCATGGCAGAGAGCAAAGATGATTTTCCAGACCCAACTTGCCCTACAATAGCCAGCAAAGCTCCTTCTGGAATCTTGATATTCAAGCTGTGTGACAACGAGAGGAGAGAGATGACAGTGGACATTTTTGTTACGGTTGTTCTTAATGTATGTTCCTAGGTAAGTCACTGTACACAGCCGTGAGTGTCATCCCTGAAATTGTGGCTTTTCACATTTTTCTACAAACACGTAGCCTCCAAAATGCAAACAAATGCCCAACCTGGTGCTGCAGAGAGAAGAAATGAAAATCTTTTTCATTTACCGTCACTCGGTGCCAGGAACTAAGCTAGGTCTTTGCGCGTGACCTTGCTCAGTCCTCAGCTGGCGACAGTAAAATCACCAGGAAAACAAAAGATACAGGGAGAGGCTTAAAATAAAAAAAAGTCTCACTAATGTAAATATATGCAGCTTCTTTAAGAATTCAAAAAATAAAAATAAGAAATATTATCGATCCCAATATTAAAATTAAAAAAAAATTTCCCTAATTCACAACTTACTCTTTTAGTACTGGAATCCCTGTTTTATCCCAGGAGAAAGATGCCTTTGTGAACCCAATGGCATAATCTAGGAAGCAGAAAAAATACAAAGATGCGTTTTAGAAGCAATTACCTTCAACCCAGAAGTGAAATACATACATATTGAGGGCAAAGGGCGGACCTCCTATGTAGTTTGTTTCAGTGTTTTGAGGAAGCAGCTCCTCAGCATTGAGAAAGTCTTCCAGACGACTCAAAGATAGTCTTGTCTATGAAAATAAACACAGATGGAATTTATTGGAAGTTCAAGGAGAAGGTATTTGAGCTTTTAAACACGTGTTAAAAGCATCACATTAAGAGTTCTATGCCCTCTGTTGGTTATTATAAGTAAAAAAAAAAAAAAAAAAGAAAGAAAGAAAAAAATGAAAGAGTGTGATGTAAAAAATGGCTTAATTTGTTTTTACTGTTCTAACTGTTCTATTATGTTCTGATTAAAACGTTTTATCAAAACCGAAGATGTTAATATAAAGACATGTAACAGGTGTAGTTGAAATTGTTTTACTGTTATAAATAAGTTTATCCCTAAAGAGAAAGAGCAGGTTTTTTTTTTTTTTCTTTCTTTTTTTTTTTTTTGCAATTTTTGGCTAGGGTTGGGTTTGAACCCACCACCTCTGGCACATGGGGCCGGTGCCCTACTCCTTTGAGCCACAGGTGCTGCCCAAGAAAGAACAGTTTTAAGATCAAAACTAATGTCATCTAAGCTAGGAACTATGAGAAGAAACAAAAATTCCTTGTTATACTAGAAAAACCATAATAACTGCTTAGTTGATAATTATAGGAAGATTAGTTTTTACAGCTTTAGTGAGGTATACAAGACAAAAATTGCCTATATTTAAGGTATACAATGTGTCTTGATGTATATTTTGAAACAATGTTTACAAACAATTAACATGTCATCATCTGACATAGTTATCTTTTTTCCTTGTATGTGGTGAGAATATTTAACATTTACTCTCTTAGGTATTTTTAAGTATACTATTATTACTAACCACAGGCGCCATGATGTGTATTAAGTGTCCTGAACTTACTCACAACTGAAATTCGTGCTCTTTGATCAACATCTCCCCATTTCCTCTCACTTCCTGGCTACTCTTTTCCCCGTTTTTATGGATTTAGACATTTTTAGATTCCCTATGTAAGTATTTTTCTTTCTCTGTCTGAATTACGTCACTTAGTTTAATATTCTGCCATGTGGTCACACATGGTGGGATATCCTTTATGGAGGCTGAAACGTTGTGCGTTTACATTTTCTTTATTCCCTTATCTGTTAATGGACACAGGTTAATTTTATATGCTGGCTGCTGAATAACATTGTAGTGAACATCAGAAAACATATATCTTTTCAAGATAGTGAATGTAGTACCATTGTGTGTATATACCCAGAAGTGGGACTGCTGGATCAGATAGCACTGCTATTTTGAATTTTTTGAGGAACACTCATACTTTTTCAGACTGTACAATTTACATTTACCGACAGTATATAAAAGCTCCCAGGTTCCCTTCTCTTCATATCCTTGCCAACACTTGTGATCTTTTGACTTCTTGATAATAGCCATCTTATTAGCAGGTACCAAGTGATATATCACTGTGATTGAGAAGGATTAGGTTTTAAAAGCAATTTTGAGATTGAGGAATGAATTCTGCTCTTAGTGATAAACAGAATTATGATTTTGGTAAGGAAAATATTCACTTAAAATAGCTATGAAATGTTTAACTACTATTAGGATAAATAAAATCACATTTATTTTCCTGAAACTGACTTATAAGAAAGTTCTAGTACATTTTTATTTACTTTGAACTGGGAGATTTTTATTGTTAACAGAAAAGATGTAATTAGGTGACAGGTTTTTTTATCAAGTGTGTCACTCATATTAGTACAAGTTTTTCTTTCTTTCTTTCTTTTATGTTTAGGAAAATTGTCCTTGTTAGTTATTAAGTGAAGGCAGCAGTATATCAGTAGGAGTTGGAAAACACTTCGAGAAACCAGAGCTTTACCTGGATTCTAATTAAAACAAACAAACAAAAAACCCACAAACCATTACTCTCGTAACTGACATCTTTGGGAGAAGTGCTCTGTGAAAACATGTGTTAAAAGCATCACATCAAAAGTTCTTCTACGCCCTCTGTTGGTTATTATAAGTAAAAAAAGAGAAAAAAAATGATAGTGATGTAACAAAATGGCTTAATTTGTTTTTATTGTTCAATTATGTTACTCCTTAAATAATAATAAGAAAACAAAGACAAAGATCTTAGATCAAAAAGCTGAATCATAAGCAGAGACTCACTTTGCTTATGAATCCTTGAGGAAAAGGACTCAATGGAGAATGCCCAGACAACTGTTATAAAACCTGCCATCGGGGAAATTTAACTTGGTAGGTCTCAGGACAAAAGCATCAAGGAAATAACTTTTTTGGATTCCCTGTGGTTTCACAGCCATCTGATCATTGTATATAGTATCTCCAGGGATTGGAGATTACAGCTCTTAGCAGGCTGCACCAGGCATGTCACAGGAGGTTTGCTGGTAGTCTGATTTTATCAAGGCCCTGTTCTCCCTGCTTATTTATTCAATAGAGATGAAATGCTGCTGAAGTCTGGGGAAATATGCAATTCAGTTCTGGACAAATGGCCTAATTATAAATGTTCAGCTGGAAACAGAAAATGAATCCTGTGATGGCATAGCTGCTATCACCAACTTTTAAAAAACGAAGTAAAAAGAAAAAAATAGAACTTAACACGCAAAGTGACAGAATATATGGAAATATTTAAAAGATACATGGATGGGAAAAAAGCATAAGCATGGAAGACAGGATTCCTTCCATTCTGTGATGTTCTTTATTACTCATTAACTCAGGGCAGCATTAAGTAACCACGGAAGGTAAAATAAGTAAAGAACAAAGGCAAAGAAAGATCCGAAACACAGATAGATTTCCTCAAAGGAACGATCCTTAGTTTAAGGAAACTTCGTATGTACCTGGACCACTGTTGAGATCACCCCTGGCAATTCAAACAGAGGAATCCTTAAAATATTAAACAAAGACACAGATGTAAACACTTTTGTGGCGGTTAAAATATTTTCTTCATCCAGTAATAAATAAACCCTAAAGGTCACCAGAGACACCTAAAAAAATAGAGAGATGGTATTTACTTCAAATATTGACGGATAATAATGAGGTACAGTCCTCCACATTAGAAAAGAATCTTAATATTATTGTTTTAGTTACTGAGATTCAGTATTCTTATTGAAGGACATAAAATATATGTTCAGCATGGACCATAAAATTGTGGACAATAACATCCTTGAGATATGTGGTGCAACTCTTTTCTGTAAGATGCGTCATAATTTTACTGGAGTTAGTATTCCCATTTAAATTGTGTATCAGTTCATTTTTCTTTAAAATGCAGAAGTTTTAGGTACACTTATTTTCAAGTAGTGTGTGCAGACATTCTAACTTACACATAATAATTATGCTTTCCTTGTGTCATATTAACTGAAGTAGATAGGAATACATCCCGGCTTATACGAGTCATACTTGGTCTTATAAGTTTCATTTAAACGCATGGGAGTATATTGACTATCGTGTAACTGGCTTAAGCAAACGCTTCTTGGACATTTTTACCAAAGTGTTCCAAATGCAGATATTGATTTTTCTTCAAAAATACTCAAAGTTTGGTTAGATGAAAAAAATAATAACATTTTAAATTATAAAGGGAGACATAGACGATTTCCTGTGATCTCATCATTTCCTGGAGTGCCAATATTGATTAGAAATGACACTGTAGTTATATGTGGCTGGTCTATCCTTTAGCTTTTGCCCTTGCTTCATATTCTAAGGCAATTCATACTCTAAACAGCATGGGATTCCCGATGTCCACATGGTGCAATAGAAAGAGAGTAAGCTTATTTCATATCAATTTATCTCTAAATCCTAATTCTTTAACTTTGAAGATATTTTCAAACTAGTTTGTCCCTCGTGAAATGAGAAAAATAATGCCTTATTATTGTAAGAATGAAATGAGACAATGTAGATAACTTGTCTGATATGCAGTGAAAACACTCAGTAAATGTTATTTCCCTTTCCAATTCAACGTAAGGCAGACTTGAGCACTGCTTAAAAGGAATTTATTACTATGCAGCCCTAAAAAAAGATGGAGACTTTACCTCCTTCATGTTTATATGGATGGAATTAGAAAATGTTCTTCTTAGCAAAGTATCTCAAGAATGGAAGAAAAAGTATCCAATGTACACAACCTGACTTTGAAACTAATTCATAGCTTTCATAGGATGTCATAACCTAATTATAGCCTTAGAATATGGGAAGGGGGTGGGAGGGGGGATGAGGGGGATGGATGAGGGGAGGGAGGGTGATTGGTGGGGTCACCTCTATGGTTTATCTTACAAGGGTACAAGTGAATCTTTCTAAAAGCAGAGTATGAACGCTTTAAGTCAATAACTAAGAAAATGACATGAAGGTTATGTTAACCAGTTTGATGAGAGTATTTCAAAATGTATATGAAAACAGCACACTGTACTCCATGATTGCATTAATGTACACAGTTATGCTATTAAATTTTAGAGCTGGAATTAAACTCTGAAAGGCAGAGTATATTTTTAAGAAGTACATATGCATATTTTCAATCTGTGAGAAATTTACAAAGAAGAAAAATCTTATTATATACAAAATATACACAGCAATAAAAACATACATATTTCCTCTCCTTTAAAACTTTGTTCTCTCATCTACATAAATAAATACATATATTTCATGAAAATTTCAATTCATATATAGAAAGCTTCACTTTGTATACCTTAATCCCAGATCACTGGGAAGTGAATCTGTAGATCAAATTTGAAAATCAAAACAGGAAATATTATAGATACTCACCAAGAATGGAATGCAAGTTAACGCCATCCTAGAGAATATGGTAAGATACCCAGCTGATTTTTTAAATTCCAATTCCTGATCTCGAATTTCCATAATCTTATTTTGATAGAAGGGTTCCCAAGCATAAAGCTTGAGAATCTGTAAAAAAGTCAGACAATGATTATTTGGCAGTCCATACTGTAGAAGAAAAAATACATAAATATATACCACACCCACACACGGGAAGGTAAAAAATGATGGTGCCCTCATAAATAGGAGTAAACCGCTTCTACTGTAAGTCAAAATATTTCCTTGAATTACAGATTTGGGGGCTGGGGGTTAGGACGGGGAAGGAATCATCCTTCTCCAGCCTTATGTCCTTCGAATCCCCCAGTAACTTACTTCTGAGCTGGACTCTGGTAACATTCTAGCTCCAGGCACAGCTCCATAGCAGTTTCTGCCTAGCCCAATTCTGTCCCAGGTCCTACTAGTCCAATCCCCCATCACCATCTACTTCCCATTTCTTCCTAGCTAAGCTTTCCCCCTGGCTTCCCAATTTCTTCCAGACAGATGCTTTGGGACTTCAAACCATTTTCTGAAAGGTGCTTGATGTTTTGAGATTGTGAACTGTTGTTTGAGCAAAACAAAACAAGACAAAACAAAACCTCAGCGAGCAGGGTCACCCGCTGGCTACCACACGTAGTTTAGAATGAGATATAGACTCTATTCAACTTCCTGCTCTATTGACTGGACTATGGTGGCCAGTTGTTTGGTCAAGTAATAGTTTAGATGTGGCTGTGAGGTATTTCTTTGATGTAATTAACATTTAAACCAGCAAATTCTGAATTAAGCTGATTTACCATCTGTAATACAGATGAGCTTTGTCAGATCAGGCGAAGGTCTTAAGAGGAAAGATGGAGGGCCCCTATGGAGGAAGTAATTTTGCCTCTAGACTCAAGGCTGCAGCATCAATTCCTGCAGAATCAATTCCTGCAGACTCTCCCGTTGGCAAGAACAGAGTCTGAATCCTGCTACTTTCATACTTGCCAGCCCCCTCAATCAGATGAGCCAATTCTTTAAAATAAATCTCTCTCCCACATCTTAATATACTCTCACTGTCTCTGTAAACTTAGTCCTGAGGCTTAACTGCTGTGTGTCTCTGTTTCCTAATTTTTTTTTTTTTTTTTTTTGCAGTTTTTGGCTGGGGCTGGGTTTGAACCTGTCATATGGGGCCAACACCCTACTCCTTTGAGCCACAGCCACCACCCTATGGGAATGAGAAATATTTTTCTTGGCAATTATATGAAAAATAGCTATAAAATGATAAGTATAGCATTTCAAACATAAACAATTTGATACATAATAGAAATTATCGGTATTACCCAAGAGATAATTATGACACATGTTATCAAACCCCAAGGATGCCAACTGTTTGCACTTTTAAACTATCCTAATCACCATTTGGACCTCTACCAATTTCCTGGTCTGTTCCCCGATAAGACTACTACTATTTCAAATCTTGGACTTAACTCAGATCTTGAAGAAACGTTCTGCTATTTTACAGACAATGTATGCCCTGCTAATTTTGTTTTCTGAATATTTAAAATCTATAAGCATTGCATTTTCGTACTTTTCCCATGCAAGCTCTATCAACTAACCAATGAGAGTTGCATTTGAATTATATTACTTTGGAGTGTGTGACCTCATTAAATAATTGAAGTTAAATTTCAGAGCTATGTTATGAAATTTCATATAAATCAGTGTCTATCAGTCCCTTCTAAGGCTTCTTCAAGGTAAAAATTTCTTTCACTTCAGTAATTTATAATTGTGTGAAAGCTCTACATAACACCGTACGAAAGAGCCCTTGTTGATTCTAAGGTGAATCAAAGTGTACACATGATTGGTACACACAACGGCTACTGACAAATCCAGAAAGAAATTGCACATCGGCTTTGTAAACTTTACCTCTTACAAAAATCTGAAAAGCATAATCTAAGTGCAGTAGAATCTGAAATTACGTATATGAAAGTTTATTCAAACATGTATATGAGGTTTCATTCATTTTACTACAGAGAAAGTATGAGTGGCATGGATAAGGTAACTTTCCCATGGAAAATAACAATTTAAAACATACTTATAGAGTAGCATTTATATGATCATTGGTATCCCACATAAATGAGCTACCTGATATCACTTCTCCCTTATAATTCCACCTTTACATGCATGGCGAGATCATTGCCATTTTCGCCTGTCCCATCCATTCCATACTATTCCTTAAAATGAGTAATATTTTGTGTCTTGTAGAGTATTTGCCTTTAGTTCTTGGGCAAGAAACAAAAAGAACATGTCTACATTTTATTTGGCTTTATATTTAAATGCTATTTTAGCAATAAGGATGCCTACAGATCTGGAATCTGAAACGCCCTCCCAATAATTATACATATATCATCAGTTTGAGATACTGAAGATGGGACAAACTTCATTTAGTAACTAATTTATTGTTATACTCTAAATAGTCAATTCAAAAGCATATCCTTTTTACATGTATTACCTTAATTCCATGTAAGATTTCTTTGAGTAGTTTTATCTGTTTATCTTTGTTCTTTTTTTGGCTTTTCTATACAATGGAAAGAAAATAAGAACACAGTTGACAAAATTGATAGTACTTCTATGGCCACAGCCACTTCTTAAGTATAGTCTATTTTCCCTATTTTATATAAGATGTAGTTGAGAAAAACATCTTATAAAACATGTATCATATTGGAAATAATGCTGGAAAATAGTTTTAAGTAGGTAACTTCAAAGAAACCAGCAGGAATCAACAGCAGTATGAAAATAGTAGGAAATATTTATTTAAATCCAATTTGTTTAAAATTGAATAACAAAATACCACCATCCACATATGTACTATTAAAATGTAATACAGGGCAGTGCCTGTGGCTCAACGGAATAGGGCACTGGCCACATATGTTGGAGGTGGCGGGTTCAAACCCAGCCCTGGCCAAAAACCACAACCCCCCCCACAAAAAACATAATACATTTCCCAAAATTTTATCAGTTATCTCTATATCTATATATACAAGAATATGTATATACATATACATATATATGTACACATATATTTATAACAGACATGTCACAGGAATAAAAATGAAGCTCTCCATAAGTCAGATTAGTTATTTGGAATTAGAATAATTAAAATGTATATTTTTAAATACCAGCTCTTTTCTTCTTATAAATACTATGTAATTGTTCTATGTTTATTCAAATATTTAACTATGATCATATTCCCATCGTTTGGGTCTTGCTTATTAAGCGTATCTTCCACCAACATTGGCAATCAATATCATATGTCAGGCGTTTGTGTATCTTGTGAAGAACGCAGTGACGAGTTAACACTCACAACATCATTTGCATAATTTAAAGGCATATTTTCTATTTCATATATTTGCACATAATCTTGAAATCTCTAGGAAGGTTGTGGGACTCATTAAAATTCAGAAAATGTATTTCCATTTTTAATAACCGTACTTTAAGTGACATTATTTAAAACCCAGAATACTTAACAACTGGTTTGAAAAAAGTATTCTTTATAGTTATAACCGAAACTGATATTCTGAACACCAGCATCTTTAATACTTCCCCTTCACAGTCATATGCTATTTTCTAGTTTTCATCTTTGAAGATCAGTCATCTTTGAAAATTTCAAAAAAAATAACAAAAGTGTCATTTTTATCACTTAACTGTATTCAAATGAGTAAAAATCTCCCTGCCTTCTGTCTAATTCCACTCTATAGATAACTATTCCTAAAAGACTATGATCTCTAGATTACTTCTATGTGTCTATGAATACATTTGTAGCTATATATTTTTATTATTTATCTCTCTATCATACACATGTACATAGGTATAGCTACTTTAAAAATTGGTTCAATTATATAAATACATATATGCATGATATACATAGAGGTACATATATGCTGTTTCCTCTAATATTTGATTAATACATTTCCAGATGAGTACATTGACATTGTTAATATTTGATTCATTTAAAATAATGAAACATAGTTTCATAGACAATGCATCTGTGTCTGTGTATATTGATTTAATGTGTGAAATCATGTGTCATCATAGTGGGCTGATCTTCAGAACCCTGAGCTATGCTGTTTCTCCATCCCTACACCACGGCATCGGGCACACTGACACACGTGAGAGGTCACAACGCATCCACAGTATTGATGGTAAGATGAATAACTGAATGTAAAGGAAGGATGTTAAAAATCATTCCGTGAGGCATCTACTGTCCACTGGCTGCCTGCAGTCCAAACACCCTGCAGACATCCCAGCACACCCCTACCTCCAGCTGCAGGTGGACTGTTCCCTCTGCTTGAAATACATTGTTTTCAGACACCCACGTGGGTTACTCCTTTATCCTGTTGCTATACATTTCCTTTTGGAGGACATTCTTTCCCTTGTATGTAAAAGGGCACCCTTTGGTTGTCCATCAACATATCCATACTTATTTTTCTTCAGATACAGATTGCCACAAGGCATAATGTTATGTATCTTTTTACTTGATGCCTGTGTCCCCCCTACCCCCCAGAGAGGTGGAATTTGTGAGTTCTCCTCACTGCTGTATTTCTCTGCCTAGAGCAATGACTGCACGGGATAGATGCCCAGTCATTACACTGGTTAAATGAGTACACTAATGGTAGATTTGGATGATTTCCATGTATAGAGAATTAGCTAGATGTTATTGTTGACAAGTCAGAAAACTCGGCTTCTGTTTGAAATGTGTAGCCTGAGGCAGTCATTTTCTTACCTTCAGCTTTTTAATTTTTGTTGCAGCTAAAGTATTTATTGGTATGACAAACACAAGGACTGCCACCCCTGCTAGTACGGCTGAGCCTAGCTCTTTCCAAAGGAGGGCTATGGCCACCAGGATTCGAACAGGGCCTAACCAGAGGAGACTGAGGTTTTCGGTCAAGTCCATGAGCTGCTGGGCATCTGCTGACATCAAGTTAATAACTTTCCCAGTAGAAAACTTTTTTCGAGAGACATTTGATAAAAGCAGGGACTGTAGAAAGAGAAGCAAAATATTTAGGACTCCGTAGCTTATGGGGCATCTTTTAATCAAATAACAGTATATTTTAAGGTCAACTTTTAACTAGTTTGTGGAACTATACAAGGTTATTTATGTATTGGGATCATAAACAATCAAGAGAGGTAAATTTTACATGAGAAACATAATGATTCGTCCAAGTACACAGTTTTGGAATTCCCTGCATATTGGTAGAGAGTTAACGTTTTAGTTTCCAAGCAATTAACACTTCATCTCTTGTTAATTACAAAGTTGCAAAAATAAATCTCTTCTAGTTAGATTGAAGCTTTCCTCCCTTTTATCCCCATAATGCCTAATTGTCTCAGTTTTATCCGCACAAAATACATCAACAAATCAACAAATATCAAGGGCATGCTGATGAACAGCACTATGCAAAAAATTTATGGAAAATTAAAAAAGGACATGGTTTCCATTCTTGGGGTGATTACAGTCTGCCTGTGGAGCTACACAAACAGGCCAATTCTAAGTGCAGAAGCAACTAATAAGGGCCATGGGAACTTAGATAAGAGTACGGGAAAGGCCTCATGGAGCAGATAGAAATAGATCTTTTGCTCCAGGGCCTAATTCTCACTTTTCACTTGTGCTCACTATTTAATATTTACATTTTCAACCCAATACCCCTAAAATATGTATTGAAAATTCTTACTAATTATGCTGAAAGAAATCCATTTAAAATTTCCAGTGAAATAGATAATATTCCACTGTATGTATACATAGCATATTTTCTTTATCATTCATCTGCTGATTGATCAGGTTGTTTCTACGTCTTAGATATTATGGATAGGGGTGCAAAGCATAGAGTAGATATCTCTTCCAGATCCTGATATTAATCTTTTTGTGCATATACCCAGAAACAGGGTTTCTGGATCTTACAGTAGTTCTATTTTTAATTTTTGAGGAACCCCCATATTGTTTTCCAAGTGGCTGTAGTATTTAGCCTTCCTACCAACAGTGTGCAAGGATTCTGGTTTCTCCAGGTTCTTGCCAAGACTTGTCTTTTGTTTCTTTGATCATAGCCATCTTGACAGGTGTGAGGTGATAGCTCACAACTTTGATTTAATTTCCAGGATGATTAGTCATAATGTTTTTTTTTTTTTTTAATATATATACCTCTTAGCCATTGGTATATCTTCTTTGGAGAAATAAGTATCCAGCTTTAAAAAAGAAGGACATTCTGCAGTATGTGACACTAAGGTAGATGAAATAATCCAGACACAGAAAGACAAATATTGCATGAGTTTACTTAATTAAGGTATCTAAAATGGTCAAATTGATAAAATGAAATGCTGGAATGGTGGTTACCAGGGGCTGAAGAGGAAGGGAAATTGGGGAATTATTAATCAATAGGTACAAAGTTTCAATTAACCACATAAGATGAGTAAGGTCTAGAGATCCGCTGTATAATATTTTACCTACAGTCACCAATAATGTGTTTTACCCTTTTAATTAAGATGATAGGTCTCATGTTAAGTGTCCTGACGATAAAAGAAAAAAATTACTTCAGAATATTAAAGACTAAAATTCACATATAATTGAATGTATTGTACACAGCATTTCTAACATTAGAACTGATTTTTGTTTTTATTTTTTTCTGACTAATAAGCCATTTTTTTTTGTAAAAGACAAAATTCACAATCCGTGAAGGGTAACTTGGTTACCCTTTATTGCTAAATTGTACAATCTAAACTGTCTTTGTCATATGGAGCAATTTGACAGAATACTGCAAAAGGCGGCCTGATTACAGCGGATGGCGCAACCTTGCACAAGTGTCTGACAGGAAGTGTTTTAATCTGATAAAAGAGAAACTAAACTTGGATGAAAAGAAAACACCCATCTTTAAAACCTTCAATGATGGAAGAAGTTGGGGAGTTTTTAAATACTCTTTAGCTGAAATAAAAATTAGCTAAAGTATATTGTTACCTTCATCGTCTTTCTAAGAAACATAAAGTTCTATCCCAGTTTGAGATTTCTTTCAACAGTATTTGCGTAGAAGCCCTAGTCTTCTCACATGCACAGAGTTTCACCGGGTGACTCATTTATTCTTTCGGAACTTAATTCGTTTCACTTACTGTATCAGGCTCTACGAAGATCCTGATGAACCAGATACAGTGCCAAGCCTCAGTTCCTCCTGCTGACGGAAACACCTTCAGCATCCCTGAGTTCAATGCACTATTGTTTCATTTTATTGATCATAATATTTGTTTTGCCTCTTCACATTCTCCCTTGCATGTATTTGTTTGTTTCTAGATTCATGCCTTGATGCTAATTCATGTCTTTATTCCCCAAAATACTGCAACAGCTGCTTCTCCTTCTTTCCAGCTTCGCTTGTTTCCAAACCTTTTGTTCTGATCATCCACCCTTTGTCTCAACTGGATCCCGACTGCCTATAGAACTAAAGTGTATTTTTACAATATATCTTTCAAGGTTCTTTAAAAAAAAAAATTAAGACGCAATCTCTTCTGTCTCTACTATCACTCCTCACCATCCTGCACGTGAAATCTTGTTTCTCGTCAGACAGAATCTACTCACTATTTTCTGAGCAGGCTTTGTAGTAATTTCTGTACTTTTTGTCTCGTTATTCCAACAGCAGCCCCACATTGTGGAATATTAACAATGAAACTTTCCTGACCGCTCAGCTGGAAGCCATGCACTTCATTAATGTAGAGCTGGAAGGCTCATAAACTCCCTATCCTGATGATTCTCAGCCAGCAGGACAGCATATGGTGAGCCCGAAGGTGGGGTCACAAAACATTTACAAAAACGTTCTTTAATTTCTTCTTGTGTGCCAGGAAGTGTTGCAGGATTCGCATTTCTATAAGGCTTTCCATTTTTCATCAAACCTAAGCATAAAAATGGACAGTTTGCCTAGGGTTTGGGGGTCTTTATCTCTAAAGGCTCCTGTATCAGGGAAAACTTTGATTAAATAAATTTGTTAAATCTGCATTTAGTCTTCACATGTTTATTACATATGCTAACACTTTCCTAATTTCTTAAAGGCAAGGACTCATTCATTCATTCACTCATTTGCTCAGTCATCCAACTGTTACCAAAAATTTTAAAAAGTCACTGTCTTAAATGGTGAGGATAGAGTAAGGGAATAAGTTCCTATTTTGTTTGTTTTTGTTGCTTTTTTTTTTTCCCCAGACAGAATCTCACTCTGTAGCCCTAGGTAAAGTACCATGGTGTCATAGCTTACAGCAACCTGAAACTCTGAAACTCTTGGGATTAACTATCCTCTTGCCTCAATCTTCTGAGTAGCCAGGAGTACAGGTACTAGACCACCACATCTGGCTAGTTTATCTATTTTTGGTAGAGATGGGTCTTGCTCTTGCTCAGGCTGGTCTCAAACACTTGAGCTCAATCAATCCACCTGCCTCAGCCTCCTGAAATGTTAGGGTTACACTTATCAAAGAACCTACCATGCACAGCGGAGCACAAAGTAAGAACCTGATACTCATGTTCATTAAATAACTAGTTGATAAGTAGGGAGGAAGGAAATTCTTTAACTATTAATAAGTAGGATGTAAATAAAAGGCTGTGGATGGTAAAGAGGTGTTGTTTAAAATTGTATTTGAAGGAAAGGACAAAGTAAATTTTAAGGTTACATAAGGAGTAAAAATTAGTCCAGTTTGGGGTGCAAAGCTTAGAATGAAAGAAGAGCTCATAATGATTGAATAGAAAAGGATGGCTTTGTTGCAAGAAAAAATAAGGTAGTTTGAGCAGAGGGAGACAGAAAAGGTAGTCTGTAGAATGAAAATGACTGGTGAAGAGAGGAAATTTTATGGATGCATTGAGATGGACAATCATTTCGACATTCAACTCCACTCAGTTTCTGAAGGTCAGATAAATGACATATCATAAGACAAGGATCATCATCTAATTTCATGTGTTAGGGCAGAAGGGACTATGGAGAAATTAATGTAGCCAATAGGAGTCAAAGTTCTTCTAAAGCAAAGTGAATACGTATGAAGGACATCTTAATAATTTTTTAGTATACTATCCTATCTTTCTAGTCCCCTTCTTTTTCGTCTTTTTTTTTTTTTTTTTTTTGGAGACAGAGTCTCACTTTATCTCCCTCAGGAGAGTGCCATTGCCTCATAACTCACAGCAACCTCCAACTCTTGGGCTCAAGCTATTCTTTTGCCTCAGCCTTCCAAATAGCTGGGACTCCAGGTGCCCACCACAACATCTGGCTGGCTTTTTGGGGGGTGGGGGATGGGGTCTTGCTCTGGCTTAAGATAGTCTTGAACCTGTGAGCTCAGGCAATCCACCTGTCTCGGCCTCCCAAGTGCTGGATTATGGGCATGAGCCACCAAGCCCAGCTAGTCTCCTTATTTTAAAGTACATAAGGAAACATACCATTTAGAAATTGAGAATTACTTACATTAATTTTTTTTTTTACCTTTTTGTAGATCAGTCCAATTACAGCTGTTTTAATTTTTGCTGAGGTGAGCATGTTAAAACGTTGATATTGCTGAAGGATCAGGGTTTGTAAAAGGACTACAACAAAAAGTGCCACTGCATAACCGCAGCCAATCCAGCCAGAATCTAAGCTGTGTTCACAGAAAATGATAATGTGCCTGAATATCATAAAAATTGAGAAAGGGGAAGACAGGTTAAACATCGGAAGTAGTTAAATGCTTATGAGAGTCGAGTATTGCCGAAATGTTACACACACACGTACACCGCGTTCTCACACGCATATAACCCACCTCTTCGTCTTCTGTACGTGTTCAATTTAATATCTTTACACCCCTACCCCGTTTATTTTAACTTAAGCATTAGATGATAAAGTAAATAAACCAATAATTGTTTTCACAGACTTGTGGGTAAGAAATTATTTTCTGGTTTTCGGATGGAAATTTCATCAAAAATAAACTGTTCTAGTTTAACTTCATCAGAGCAGTTGAGACACGGAGGCATAGAAAACCTTTTTGTCTTCTTTTCTTCTGGGCACAAAGACCCAGCTACTTGGGAGCCTCAGGCAGGACGATTGCTCTAGCTGAGGAGCTGGAGGCTGCAGTGTGACACGGTTGGTCGCACCTGTGAATAGCCACTGCACTGCGGCGTGGGCCACATAGTGAGAGACCTCATTTCTTTAAAACAAACAAACAAAAATGACAACTTTTTTTCTCAAAATCATGCACTTTTGTCAAATATAAAGAAATACAACAATCAAAACTGAAGTGGGGGTCTCTTAAGATGGCACATTGATGCAATTTTTACAGGCTTACTTTACATCTCATCTTTTTATTGCATTTTTATTCATAAGCACTTCTTCCATTTTCTACCTTTGCATATTTCCTCTTCTGTCTGGTGTCAGCACGGTTATAACGACGACGGACCCACCGCTGGGGTACAGAACAACCATGAAGGTGGTTCTAAACTAACCATCGTGGCTGCTTATAGTCTCTGAACCTTGATTAAAACTCAGAGCGTCTGATGTTCACTGTGAATAACAATTTACATGTGATCTCACCCTTTTAGAGAACGCATCTCAGTGACCGGAAATAATCATACTTTTAAAAAACTACATATACGGTGCAAAAGGATGAAAAAAATAAGCATATACTCAGCGATACTATAAATTTGTATGTCATTTATTTTTGCATGCATGTGGCTTATTGAAGGAGTTTTTTTCTATTTCATCGGTGACAGGTATAGTAATAGAGGTTTTATAAATGGGCCTTTTTCATTGTGAACTCGAGAGATGCAAAAATGTTCTATGGCATAATAAACGGCCATTATGAGTCAACTTGGTTGTTAGAAATCCTAGGCAGTTAGGTCTGACAATGTCACTACCGTTTTCTCCAAAGGATTCTGAATGTAAAAACTCATTCTGTTGCAGTCACGTCACACTGCAGCCTCCAGCTCCTCTGCTAAAGCAACCCTCCTGCCTGAGGCTCCCAAGTAGCTGGGACTTTGTGCCCAGAGGAAAAAAAAAAATAAAAAAGGTTCATATGTCTCCATTTTTCAACTTTTCTGATGGAGTTAAACTAGAACAGTAAATTTTTGGTGAGATTACCATCTGAAATTTAAACATATGTTTAATTTTTTTTTTTTGAGACAGAGCCTCAAGCTGTCCCCCTGGGTAGAGTGCCGTGGCATCACGGCTCACAGCAACCTCCAACTCCTGGGCTCAAGCGAGTCTCCTGCCTCAGCCTCCCAGGTAGCTGGGACCACAGGCGCCTGTCACAATGCCTGGCTTTGGCTGCAGCCGGTGTTGTTTTGGCAGGCCCGGGCTGGATTCGAACCCACCACCTTAGAAGTGTATGTGGCTGGTGCCTTAGCCACTTGAGCCACAGGCGCCGAGCCTACATTTAAATTTTAAAGTGGTAAATGAAACATAGATTTCTAGGCTTTGATCCATTTTCTTGATGGCTTAGCTAATATGTGAACAGTTCAAAGCAATTTGTATTGCCCAAATGTACATGCGAGGTATGGAATGTGGAGTAATGCATACGTGGACTATCAGCAGGTGCTGTAGTGGTTCTACACATATCAATCAAGAATTACTAAAAATTATCTGTAGTCAAGGCGTAGTAAAGACCGTAAAATAATATGCAGAATATCTAATATAAACATTCATTTATTTGTTTGATTTTACAATAAGATATATAAATGGAGGAAAAGGGCAAACAACAATCAACAAGAGACATATCTGGTCCATATCCAAATTATTATCCTACTAGTAAATTAATAAAAACAATACTTTATATGCTTTATTCCACATGCAAGTCAGACTAATAGGATAATGTATATTCATCCCTTCAACTCCTCCCCCTAATACCTTTCTTTTGGATTTAGGCTTCGAGATTTGCTTGGCTAAAATAATTTGGCACAAGTGACATTCTAAGATTTCCAAGCCCGGGTCATAAAACAAGTTCTCTGAGACTCTTGGAATGTTCACTCTGAGGAAAGACAACTGCTATAAAAAAAGTGCAACTATCTGAGACCTGTATGCTCAAACGAACTATTCAGAGAAGAGGTGTGTGTGTGTGTGTGTGTGTGTGTGTGAGAGAGAGAGAGAGAGAGAGAGAGAGAGATGGGTCTAGGCATTTTATCCATCATTATAGGCATCAGATGTATAAATTGAAAAGCTGTCTTGGACAACGCAGCACCAGCACACATGGAGAAGAACCAAGGTGACCAGCTAACAGCCAGAACCCAGCCACATATCTCACACCAGCCACATGAGATGGCTCCAGCTGGAGCTGTCTCCAGCTTTCCCACATACTCGGCTAAGGTCCTAAGCATCGTGCAGCAGAGAAAAGCAATCTCTGTGAAGTTCTGTCCTTCCATATTGTGAATGTAATAGAATTGTTTTATTTGTATCAATTTTGACATGGTTAATTTTACAGAATTAGATAATCAGAATATACTGAGCTGGGGGTCAGAGGCAAGGGGAGGGATGGTTCTGAGATTTCATCTGGGGCATGGGAGTTAATCCAGGAGACATTTGGTTTATAACTCTAAAAGGCAAGAGAGCCCAAGAGAGAATTTGGGATGAAAAACGGCAGGAAGTTTCCTTACACAAACACCTTCTTGCCTTGGGTTTCCTGACACCATTCTCTCTCTCTCTCTCTCTCTCTCTCTTTTTTTTTTCTTTCTGAACTATTCATTCCTTCTCAAGATCCTTTGACAGACTTCCCCATCATCACCAACTCTCTGCTTTGGAATGCTGATGGTTTTGGCTGTTGACAAATTTACTTGTCTTCACTTAAAGCTTATGTGGTTTCATCCAGAGCAATGACATGCTCAAGCCAATTTAGAACAATTCCAATTTATCACTTCAGGCTTTATCTTTCCCAATTCCAGACTTACACAGATAACTGCTTAGTCGACATTTTTGTCTGGAAGGTTGTGTCAGGGACATCCCAAGACCACTCCCAGATCAAAGATTCATAAAAAGAATGTAAAGGATTCAGAGTATGGTCATACCGGTGGCTATGATTTATTATGGTGAAAGGTTACGAAGCAAAGTAAATAAAAGAAAAGGTGCATGGAACAAAGTCTGGGGGACAACAGGCACAGATAACCAAAAGTCCTTTTCCTGTGAAGTCACAGACAGCATATTTAATCTCCCAGCAACTAGTTATGGCAACACACTTAAAATATTGCCTCCCAGGCAAACTTGTGAGAAATTCAGTGTCTGGGGATTTAATAGGAGGCTGGTCAAGTAGAAACCCTCTTCTTAATGCACACCAAAATTCCAGACTCCCAAAAGGAGACAGGGTATTCAGCATGAACCATATGGATTGTATATAAACAGTTTAGACGTACTAGGCCACTCTCATCAGTTAGGATAGCGAGAACCCTCCTGAAACTCAAGTCTCAGGTGTCCTGTAAGCAGGTCTTCCAAAGTCCTAGTGAGGCCTGCAACATTGATTCTTTTTCAATAGCTAATAGATACTTCAAATTTAACAAGTCTCAAAGCAAGCCCTATTCCCTATTTTTGTCTTTCCTGAGTTTTCTTGGCATATGGTGATTCATTTTCTTGCGACTTGAGTAAAACAAAAACAAACAAACCAACAAATAGAACAACAACAGACAACTCTGAAGGCGTCTTTGACTCCTTGCTTCCTCTCTTAACCTACATGCAGTTCATCAGTAGATTCTGTTGACTCCATCTTTAAAAGAGATCCAGAATCGGACTACTTCTTACCATCTTCCTCGTTACAACCCAACTGAAGCCACCACTGACTTTGGCCTCGCTTACCAAATAAACTCCTAACTCGTGTTCCTTCTTCCACTCTTGCTCTTCTTTACGCTACTTTCCACATAGCATTCAGAGTGATCCCCATAAAACTTAAGTCTAATTAGACCATTATCTCCTCAAATCTTCAAAATAGTCCCATCATGTTTCATAAGGCCCTTCAAAGGTCATTTTCACTCCAAAACATTTCTGACCTCAATTTTAACACTTTTTCTCTCATCCTCTTTGTTCCAACCCTACTCTCCTCCTTGTAGGCCCTCAAAGATACTATGCACCAAGAATACTCCTGGTTTTTGCCCTTCCTGTCCCCTCTAATTGCAATTGATACTGTCTTGGCTTTCTTTCTAACTTCCTTTAAGACTTTGATCAAATGTCACTTACCATTGACGTCTTCCCTAGTCACCTAACATAAAACATCAGCTTCCAACTCCTCAGACTGACATCCCTTTAACCTGCTCTAGTTCCCTCCTAAGCACTGATTATCTTTTTATCATTATTTATATATATTCAATTGTCTATTGTTTTTCTCTCTTCTCTGAATGTCATCAGAGTTTTGCTTTTTGCTCTATCCCCTTAGTTCACCTAGAGGAATGTCTGGCATATGGTAGGTACTTAATTAAATGAAATATTCCTGAGTTTTATCTGTAGTTCAGGTGACTCAGGGTCAACTGTATTTTCATGAATTAAATGGCTCCAAAACGTTCCAACAGGTTGGGCACGATGGCTCATTCCTGTAATCCTAGCATTCTGGGAGGCTGAGGTGGGTGGATTAATTGAGCTCACAGGTTTGAGACTAGCCTGAGCAAGAGTGAGACCCCATTGCTACTAAAAATAGAAAAACTGAGGTAAGAGGATTACTTGAGCCTAAGATGAGGTTGCTGTGAGCTATGATGCCATGGCACTCTACCCATGGTGAAAGCTTCAGACTATTTCTCCAAAAAAAGAAAAATAACAACAACAAAACCCCCCAAACACTCCAACAACTTGGAAATATTTTCAATAATAAAAATTTAATCAGAAGTTAATAAAATAATATGCTTCTCTGTATTTCCTTCATGTGAGAGTTAGAGGTAAGGCAACATCTCCTTGAAAAACATAGCACATAGTCAAGGGCACAATTTCATTGTCTTCCTGTAGCCCCCTCGCAGATAAATATTACAAAAATGCTTCAAATCACTTTAATATATATATATATACATATTTATTTATATGTATATATGTGTATGTATTTTACAGACATCTATACATAATTATAACATATTTTAATATATGTCATGTATAGTAATTTATTTATTTAGTTACCTTGGCTGATAAAGTTTAATTCTCAAAAGACCACAGCTAATAAACATAATGAATATATCTATCATTTCCTTTTCTAAACATAACCTTTGAGCAAGATATCCTAAATTTCAGTCATGACTCTTGATTCTTTCTAGCATGTAACCTTGGGCAAATTTCTTCAACTTCTCTGTCTCTGTATCTGCATTGTAGTAATGAGTGTAATAATGTTCCTACTTCATAGCAATGTTGTCAAGATTAAATAAGGTAACTAATGTGATGATTAATTTTATGTGTCAAATTAACTGGGTGAACATATACCCAGTCAGCTGGTAAAACATAATTTCTGGGTATGTCTGTGGGGGTGTTTCTAGAAGAGATTAGCATTTTAATTAGTAGACTGAGTAAAGAAGATCCCAGGGTATAGAGGCCTATCCAATCTTTTGAGGGCCTGGATAGGAACAAAATAGTGGAGAATGGGTGATCCTATTCTCTTCTGGAGCTGGGATATCCATCTTCTCCTGCCTTTAGACATCAGAGCTCCACATTCTCTGGTTGTGAGATTCAGGCTGGATTATACCACTGTGGTCTCCGACTTGCTGACAACATGATTGTGGGACTTCTTGGCCTCCATAATTACCTGAGCCAATTCATAATAAATCCCCTCTATATATCTATGTATATCCTATTGGTTCTGTTTGACTGAAGAACACTGATTTTATATAATTATCATACAATTTTAGAACGGTGGTTAATCCATAGTTGGCTCTGTCAAATATTGTCCATGTTACCATAATTCCCATTTGTATTACAGACAACCTTAATAGAATCCCATCCACTAAATAAAATTCACAAGAAACACATTCTCCACTCTTTTTTAGTAGGACTTTTATGGTAGAATATTTGCTTATTGTTTACCTATAGGAAGGAAAGCAAACACACAAATAAAACCAACTTACTTCATTATGAATGGGCTAAAGAAAAATAAACCATCAGCCAACACTTTGAATAAAGTGACTTGAACCAGGAGAGTCTTAAAGGTGTTCCACAATGCATAGAGGAGAGATGGTTTCCCAGTAGATGCCTCTTTGTGAGAAGACTCCTATATAATTAAAAAAAATAGAAACTATTAAAATTGGATAGAATTGATATTAGTACAAATACTATATATGTGCATACATATTATGTGTATATATATCATGAAGGTAATGTACTCCAAAGACAGTAAAAAGCAAGGAATAACAAAGGAATAAATTCAATTAAACTTTAAATTATGACCCATGTTATTGGCATGTATGTAATCAGACTAGTTGCTGATTTTTATATCATATAGCATAAATGGTAAGAGTAATAATCATATTTTATAACTTTTGTGAGTTTTGAAATAGTTTCATTAACATAAATATACCTTTTATCTCCTAATTATATTTCTTGTTTCTAGAAAAGGTGTTTACAGGGTGACCATAAAGTTCATTTGAAATTTTAAATTTCACACTATTTTAAATTGCGTGCACACTTTATGGCCACCTTATATATGATGCTGGATATGGAGTACCTCTCCCTCTTCTCTTAGACTTTGGCCTTGGCCACCATAAAATTAACTTTGACCAATACTATGTAAATGGAGGCTTTGAGATATAGAAGTTACCTCAGTCACCATTCATTGAGAAGCCAAGGATATATGTACATGTCAACACTAAGGCACTAAAGAGATCTTGCTGATCATTTCCCAAAAGTGTGCAAAAAGAAGGTACACTTAAGCAATAACAATAACTTCAATTCAACTTTGAAAAGTATTATGTAGATAACATCTCTTAAAATGTATGTACATTTTTTGGCTTCGTATTTGCTCTTGAACATTAGAAGGAAGTGATGAAGTAATACTGAATAATTTGAGGATGGGAAGAGTTCCAATAACAATCAAATATACTTAGAGAAATGGGTTGTCATTTCACATTTCTTAGGGATTTTCTGTATTAAAATAAACATAATATCCTATATTTGGAAAAAGTCTTATTGAGTTACAGGTAGTAATTAACTACTTTAGGATTTAAAAATCAATTACCTTGACTTTTTGCCTCTCTTGATTCCTTAAAATTTCTTTCCTCCATTGTTTTTCAAAGATAGGACATACAGTGTAGGAGGAATCACTTTCACTCAGTTCAAAAAGGTCTTCTCTTTCCAAAGGTTTCTTATAGCCTAAAGTAATTAGTCTAAAAATCAAAGAGTAAGTTAAACAAAATGGCACGACAAATAATCAACTTGAAAAGAATTGCATATGCATTTATTTCACTTCTTAATTTATAAGTTATTTTATTGATCAGTATATAATGGCTAGATTGTGTGAAATATCATAAAACTTAACTCTGGAGTTCAATATTACATAATAATAATTTGTAGAAAGGCTGTTTAGACATCTAATTATTCAGTGAAACATTAACTTCATTTCCTCATCTCTTTGGAGAAAGTACCACTCACCTCACTTACTGAAATTATCATCTCACCTCACTTACTGAAATTTAAATAGCAAAATTCACAGTAATATATTCACTCAACCACCCCCAAACCCATCTTCCCTTTTAGGCTTGTAACAGATGAGAAATAGATCCACCCCTTGCATTTGCAACTTCTCTTCTGTTGCACTAGGACATTATATACTGCTTTTCCCTTTGCCTCTTGACTTTAGAGATGGTCTAACTAGATGTAGAGTAGCTGTCCATCAACTTTAGCTTTGGTCAGATGACCTATTACCATCAAAAGGAAGTAAAATATGAGATAAGATGAGAGTGCCATTTCTGAGTTGATTTCTTAAGAGCTATGGAAAGTTTTTGCCAGCTTCTTTGTTGTTTCCACCCTCCTCCTTTCAAAGAACTTGACACAGGAGACACTGTGAGTAATTATGCCAAGAACAATGGGTCCAAACAGAGAGGCAAACTCATATGCATGGTCTACTTATACCACAAAAGTTATTGTGGTAGACAATGGATTTTATTTACCCACAACTATCACTCTGCCTATCATGTTCTTTCTAATAAGAATCTGATATTTATTCAGTTGAAACTCTCTTAAGCTCAGGTAAGCCCTTATCCCAAGCACAGAGCTATGAATTGAGACAGTTCAGAACCAGCCCTGGTAATCTCATTATTCTTTGTTTGTGATCAACCACACAACTCAGAGATGGCTCATGATACCTAAATAATAATCTGCTAAGAAGAACTTTCTTTTTCAAATGAAAGCACAAAACTTCAAAAGGTGAGAACATTTGATTTCCAACTTTTTTCTGCTCTTCCTTCCTGCATACACTTGAAGGCAGGATGCTCTGATAAAAGCCATTTCCCACCATGGATGAAAAGTCAAAGAATAGGGCAGCACCTGTGGCTCAATGGGTAGGGCGCTGGCCCCATATTCCAAGGGTGGCAGGTTCAAACCCGGCCCTGGTCAAATGGCAACAAACAAATAGCCAGACATTGTGGTGGCACCTGTAGTCCCAGCTACTAGGGAGGCTGAGGCAAGAGAATCACCTAAGCCCAGGAGTTGGAAGTTGCTGTGAGCTTTGTGATGCCACGCTTTCTACCGAGGGCGAGAAAGTGAGACTCTGTCTCTAGAGTCTCTTGGAAATAGAAGGAAAAAAGGCTCTGTATAACATTTCTGACTCCTTACCATATTCTCATCCCTCTTTCCCAATAACTTAAGAAAATAGAAACATGTTTGTTTAAGCTAATATTTTTCTGTTTTCTTACTTGAAGCCAAACACTCCCAAGGGATAGAGTTCAGATATATCGTATATTCTGTGAACTTGTTGACATGATTTGTTCAGTGGAAATTAAATTCATATTTAAACTCATGTCTTCCGACTCTATAGTCTCAGTTCTTTCCATTATGAAGTGTATTAGCCTACGAGATGATAACAGAGTATTACACTACTCCAAATTTGGGGACCACTTTTATTGTTATTGTTACTGACTAATCTCAATTGCTTGACCATGGGGTGAATTTTAAACCCTTTGGTAAATTTTACTTTTATTATAATAAATGATATCTTACACAATTCCTACTTAAGAATGTCTTAAAGGTAATAAGAAAAGACCTTTAGTAATCATGTTTCTGTTGGCTCAAAAAAGTTGGATATTTTCCTGCAGTGCACTTTTAAAAACATATTGAGCAATAAACTACTTATGTGTGTCATATTAAGTCTTTCCATTTCATTTAATAAAATAATTACTCATTTTCCAAATAAGACTGCATTGATTTTCACAAAAGCATTTTTAATACCATTTACTACCTCAGCATTTTGAGTTAGAACTGTGCAAAACTCAGCGGTTTTGGTTCAGGGTAAGTGACCCCTGGCTTTCATGCTGAGTGTCCAAATAATGCAGCATCAGAAAGTGACACTTAAGCTGAATTGATTGTGATTCTCGTGGCTTGGTGGGTTACCTCCCTCGACTTTTCTTTTCCCAGGTGTGAGCTCCCTCTCCCTCCACCTTTGCTCTCTCCTGGTAGACTCTGATCATAGGGGCTGGTCTTACCTTCTCACATAAAAGTTTAAAAAAAGAGGAGGCAAGGAAATAGTATTTCTCTAAATCAAAAGTTGATTTAAACAACTAAGATCAACAGTTGACCCTTTCAATAAATGAAATATATCACACACACCAGGAACCATAAAATTAAGGACCTTATTCCAAAACCAATCATAAGGTGATTTCCGTTTTTTAAGAATGATATTTCTTTTCAAAGGACATTCACTTTAATTAATTTGATCCAGATAACACCCTAAAGAAGGGAAAGAAGTATTACTTTCTCATTGTAACAAGTAGTTAAACACCAAAAATTCCAGAGACTGGTCACTTGTTTAAATTTATGATGTAAAGTACTGCAAAAACATCAGATAATGCCTGAAATAAAATACTTCCACTTTGTTTTTAGTTTTTGTTGTCTTAGAATTTCGAATATATTTAGCACTGATAAGGGAAAATATGTCATCTAGCTGATGTGAAGAGAGTAGAATAAAAAAAGTAAAAAAAAAAAAAAACAACAGAGAGTAAAAGATGAAATCAGTGTCCAAAATTTGTGGATAAATGCATAAGTAAATAAATCGTGGATAAAATGCATAAATTTTATTAATATGGGAGAAAAGTTAGGACATAATGAGAAGTGTATACCTGATCAAAATAATGATTCAACTGTGATTTATACAAATTTTAACTAGACTTCTTCATGTATATCAAGGGAATCATTCTATGACCATGATCATTATACACTGATGGGAGATTCTATTTTCTAATAAAGGCTCAGTAATTTTTGATCATCAAAATAATCTAGATAGGTACTATCTTAGGAATTAAATTTCATAAGCATACAATTTTCTAATTATTCTATCATCTGAACATGTTTAATTGAATTATTCATATAATTATGGTTGCTTGAATTTGACCTAGGAAATAATTTCTGACTTTACTCTGCAACTCCAAAAATAGATCTGAGAATACAATTAACCACTATCTTCAAAGGGACATTCTCTTAAACAATAGCTATGTTTCAACTGCAATTGTTTAACCACCCCGTAAGAAATCAAATTAGATTCATGCCAATGATGATGCCTGATAACAGCAGGCTATGAAATCCTTTATATCTAGTTCTGAGATGTTATATTTACACAGAAAATAAAAATGATATTTAACAATTAATGCTCGATATTTTGTTTGATTGACTTAAGACACAGATTTTAAGATGGTAGATTGTCATATTTTTAAATTCACTATGCTTTATCTTGCTTATTAAAGTTAATTTCAACATCTTATGTTAAGACATCTAATAAGATGGTTGTAATATTTAATACATATATACGTTGTATTTATAGTTTGATGATCAAAGCCTTAAAATGACATTTATTTAAAATTAATTTCATTTACATTATTTAAATTATATGACTTTAAAATGTCACTAAAATTTTTTAAAGCCAGAGCAAACTTCCTTCTCAACTTGGGTATGACGCAAAAGGAATTTACCTAACAAATTCAATCAGTGTAACGTAATTCTTTAAACCCTCAATGAATCCCAAACGATGATAAAAATAAATAAATAATTAATTAAAATATATACATAAAAATGAATAAATAAAAAGAAAATATTTCTACACAAATTTGAGAAATTAAAATAATTAACTATAAATAGCTCAGATTTACATAATTTCTACTCAAGCTTTCTTTTTTCTAGTGTGAAGCTTAAGGTTACATGGTAGCATAAAATTTTTGTTGTCCTCCTTAAGTGATCACTAGATTTGTATAACTAGGAAATCTTATCCTATCTCAGCCTCTCTGTCCAAAAATTTGCTCATAAGTATGTAAATTTTCTATTTAAGCTGCTTTCATAAAACCCACTAATGGTCTTCATATTACCAAATTTAATGAAAAATATTAATTCTTATTTCAATTTACTGCTTTTCAGTATTTGATCCTATTAACCACTTTATTTTTCTTTTTTCTTGACAGTTTCTCTTTTCTTAGCTGTCAATTACCACTTTCCTCTTAAATTCTGAACACCTTTCTGTCTTTGTAGACTCCTACTTTTGCCATTTAAATATTGATTCTCATTGTTCCACTTGTTCAACCGAGTCAATGGACTCTTCTTCTGGGTAGTTTTATTCATACTCATGGTTTCAACTACTGACTTCAACTATTGACTATAGTCAATGAGTCCCAAATACATAGGCTGGTCATTCATCCTAAGCCTAAGAACCACATAGCTAAACACTCATTCACGTGATGCTTCACAGGCATCGCATAATAAATCTTTTCCAAAGTGAACTCACAATTTTTTTTTTACTTCAGAAATAAAATTTAATGACTTAATTTCGTTTTTACTAGTAAAAACTAGGTTAACAGTTTTAAATTTAATATACTTCTGGACAATGATACATAGGTCCCATTTTTAGCAGAAGCTTATGGAAAATGTTTGATATGGTACAGATTAATTCAACCCTTCAGTTTGCACAAATACAAAGGCATAGTCATGATTAAAGGTAAAAGTTGTATAACAGTTCTGCATACTAAAATATTACTAATAATGCAGTTTCTGAGAACCAAAATATCAGCTGGCTGATTTTGCTTTTATGATATATATTAACTTCTAGCATGACAAGGCCACTAACAAAATGTTCACCATTCTTCCAATACCTTTGATTCCCAGCATGCTTACCAGTTGGCAAATTCATTTT